AAAGAGCTGAATTTGTATCGAATATAAATTCGAAAAGTAAAGATAACGAAATTACAAAAAAAAAAATAGAAAATATAGAGCTAACAAAAATAAACAAAGTAACAAGGGCAGTGTTAGTGAAGAAGAAAATTGTATTAAAAGTGTTAACCTGCATATCCGAAGAAAGTTATTATGTTACACAATCGAATGAGAAGCCAACAAAAACATTATATGAAGATTAGTATACAGATATATATATGGCGATGTGGTATATTATATATTGTATAATTGTATTCTGTATGTATAACTACGATCAAATACAAAAATTGTTCATTTCTTTATTTTATAATATATATTAACATATTTTATATCGTAGCTTATAAGCTATGTATGAAAAAAGCTGATTTCACCGAACGCTAATTTCGTACAGGATTGGTGCAAAGTTCTTTTTAGATATTCTTTCCATGTATACGTGGGACAATTATTTAACAAACTTTTCAATTCTTTTTTTTTTTAAATACATATAAGAATACACTGAACATTCTTCATATATTTCTATATCACCGATTCTTATCTCTTTTGAAAATAATCTATATCTGTCGGATATTATCTAATTCCTATATTATCAAATGCGGTGAATCAAATACGTGAATGAGAGACAAGAACCCGGACCCTCATGACCGATAGTCCTGCTGACCTACTTCCGTATTGTTTCTTGTCTCGCCGCGAGAAACACACTATTTACTCCTTATCCCCCACCCTATGCACAATCCTATATTCTGTCCTTTTAGTAAACGCACCGCAAATGAGTTTCCGCCATTTGTACATTTTTACAAACGATGTCAGTTTAAACGTAAGACGAGTCTGATTGTAAGATGGGAATCGAAGACTGTTGAGGAACATCGTCGAGAAGAAATGAGAGAAAGTCTCGGTAATCTAAACTACCGACCGGTAGTTGTTTCTTACGTGATTGCAATAATAGTTAAGGACAATAATTATCAATATTTTACTTGGCAGCCGTTAATTTGTCAGTCTACAACAGAAAAATAAGCTTTAAACGTAAAAAGCTGACAAATCATCATCGTATGTGAGGAGAATAATCGATGATAATTGGCCAATTTCTCGAGGTTCAAAACTTACTTTTCTACTGTAGGCGACATATTATTCGAGATTTTTTTTAATTTATAGATTTAATATTTTTATTGTGTCATTTTAAAAATTATTTCAAATAATATTAATTAGAAAATAATACCGATTGTCATACAATACAATAACTAATATGTAACATTATAACAAATTAAAAAAATTATAATATATGATATACATATATCTAATGGCTTAAGTAATACAAAATTAAACAAAAATATGTTGAAAGAGCCAAAATTGTAATAAATATAATAAATACTACTTATAAGAAATAAATCTATTACAAACATTAATAACTGACTCTCGATCAAAAATAAAAACAATGTTACAACAATACAAAGTCTAATGACAGTCAACTGCAGGTGTAATGGCGGAGTCTTTAAATAAAAATTACTACTTATAAAATTATGTGTGTGTACGAATAATTTTGTGATATTTTAATAACGTTTTAATGACGCCTCATTAACGTCTCTAACGTCAATAAGACACCATAAAAATGTTATTAATTATAGTGTCATTCTGTTATTTAAGACGTTATATTGCCACAATATTATTGTGATATTTCAATGTTGGTTATCAACATGTAATATATCAGTAATATTTCTGTGATATGTGATATTTTTGGTATATATTGTAATATTACTGCAATATTACTGTGATATTACGTGCTATGAGGGAAATGGGCATAACGATCGAAGCTATAGATTTTTTTAATGCTTAAGTAATTCAATGTAAATTTATATATATTATACTGAAAAAATTTTTACAAAATTTTAATAAACAGTTACTTAAATAGTAGAACATTTGTTTACAGAACAAAAATTATTAAAATTTCATACAATTTTTTTTCAGCATATATATGTATATTATACATGCATATATACGCATATTTGTTCATTATCATCATATGAACTGCGCGCCGAAATTTTATCGAATTTAAAAACGCAGCTAAACTACTGAAATAATATCACAGTTAAATTTTGATGCTCAACAGGCATTTATTAAAGAGATCTTAATATGTTGGAAATTTGTAATATTTAAAATTAATATTTAAAATTTTGTACTACACTTCTCTCTTCATCCAACAAATTGAATCATGTCCACTAACTGATACATGTACTTTACTTTTTAGTCGGCCAAACTTTTTAGTTGGCGTTACGCCACTGCGTAAATGCGGCACGAATTTAACTGTATTGCGGGTGTGTAGTATACGTATACAGTTAATACTCATTGTCGGGCAAACCGTACAACGCGATTGGCTGACCCGTAGTCCAGATTCGCCCTCGGCTGACCTCATTGTTGACTGACCCACTAGCTGATAGCGCGAAGCTACACGGTCAGCGCGCTTTGGTATCTAATTGCACAGCGTCACGAAAGAAAAATCTTTCGTACAATTAATAGCGGTATTTTTTATTATCATTTTTTCACCTCAATAAGTAAATAATGATCAATATAACGCGTATAGGGATATTTCAGGTACGAGGTTCCTTGGCCAAAAAATGTACACTAAAAAAAAAAAGGTAAAATAGTTTTACAAATGATAATGTGATTTCTAAAATTTCAATATATAATTTCGCTATATAATAATTTTATAGTCATGAGAATGAGAATTGTTTTGAGAATTATTAATATATAATTATATATAACCATAAATGCGACATCAACATTATTTTATTAGTTGCAATTATTAAATAAAAACACATTAGTTATAACTGTATTAAATTAAATAGTAGTTTTACCCCCAGAGACATTAGCTTTAGCAAAGAGCCGCAGAGTAAGTTTCTACTTCTCGTATGATGAAATGATTAATAAACTGAAATTAGTAATCTCAATTTAATTATTGTGCTAATATCGGACAGTAACGAATAATTTGAAATATATAAGAGTAACAAATGCTATTAATAAATTAATATTAGATTGACGATCTATTAAATGATCAAAGTTATCAAGTTTATACTTATTCCGAATTTCTCTTCCTTTTTAACTTTACAGTTTCCAATTCTTTTGTGTAAAATCGCAGAATGATGCACGTTTGTCACAATACGATCAATGCCTTGCTGAATGTATAACGCATTCTAATGTAAAGCTGTGCACAAATTTGCAAAACAGATTTTATTAATGACAATTTTGATGGAACGAGTCGGATAATAGCACGCGACTGAATATGCAACGAGCAGCGCAGGTATCAATCAAATTATTACGTTAACTTGTTCCGCGTGACGACTGTGAGAGCAGTTTGCTGACACAATAGTCGGTGTTATATTCAACTCTGCGAAGTACGAAGTACAATTAGTTATACATAAAGATGAAACATAGACCATGCGTTTCATTTAATGTCATTTCATTCTGAAGCAGAAAGATAAGAAAAAACTTCGCCCATCTTGAACTCCTCTCAATTACTTAACAATTGTATTCTGTTTTGTAGATAATGGCAGAAATATTAAAAGATTAAACAGTTTTAGATCTTCAAACTCCTGCAGGAAACAATTTTAAAGATGTTCCGCTCGTCCGCATGTATATATTATCAGAGCTGAAGAATGTGATTAATATTCTTGAAAGATATTCGTATGTCTTCAAGATCTTTGGCATAATTTAATATTATGCCAAATTTTTTATGCCAATTTTTTTTATTTATTTTTATTTTATTTTTATATATGATGTGAGCATAGCAATCTACAGTTGTGGACATTATTTTTACATGTGCCGTCACTATGCAGTGACGGCATTGCGAGGAAGTGCCCTGCACGCAGAAATAAACTTTGTGAGGATGGAAATCGATAACAAAGGGTCTAGAAGATATTGGTAAAACATTTTTCTCCCGATTCCCTTCTTCTCCTATTTTTTTCTGCTTTTCTTCTATTAGAAATATTCGTTCCTGGGTGGGATGCGATGAATCATGGATAAATAAGGAATTTATAAATTTTCATCGTGTTGTCTAAGTCCGGCGATACCCTACTTTTCTACCGTAAGCCGACGAGTACCCTTCGGCGTCACGTGGCCGCAAGGCCTGCGGAGAGGCCCAGAAACACATCCGGTGGCGACCATGCCCCCTCTTTCTGTAGAACCGACTCGTGTGTATCGGCTTTTACACGGATCTCCCAGCCGCGCATATGCATGTGCACAACCGCATTGCGAAAGAATTCTTCATAATTATGCTGGTCAAATTTTTTCCAATCGAAGGTTATTACGTATCGCGACGAGCTGGGCTTCTACCTCATGCACGCTACGCAATGCATACTCTCCACTTCGATCTTTCTCTTTACATCCACTGACTCCCTCACCCTTCATTCTCCTTCTTTGTGACGCGGAGTTCATGATCGTGAGTCATAGTTGCGCTAAGGAGTCAAGACCGAACAGTCGGAGATGAAATTTTAAATACATAAACTTTTCGTTGAACAAATTCGTAAACATATGCGCGATTGATAAAGATTCTAAGATTGCTATTAGCAAGTTTTGTAATTTTCGTTATCAAATCGTAATTAAATCAAATGAATTAGAGTTCTTTTTTTTTCTGTGATAAAAATTGATGTGCAATATTTTTAAATATCTAAAAAGTATCGGATAAGTCGATTTATTTTCATTTATCTTCTAATTTGATTCAACATTACAATTTATGAATGGTGTGCTTATTGTAGCTTCAATGAGCGAAGTTTCATTAGTAATTACCCGAATTTCGGTCTTGATCCCTATTACCTTCATCCCCTCCAGATGAGGAGGTGGACAACTGGAGATGGAGAGGACAACTCTAACGACAGCGAGGACACCGACAAACGGCCGACACAACGCGCAGGAAGAAGAAAAGAGACGAGTGTTCGGTGAAGCCGACCAAGCGGCTATTTGGAACACGGCCGATCAGTTCCTTCGGCGCCTTCGCACCGTGGACGCGAGTATACGAACGTCCTTCGTCGCCAATTTTGAACGCGCACCTCTATTTCTGATTGAGTAAAACGAGACGTCGGGGAATCCCGCGAAAAATTGTGCGGTGCGTTTTTTCGACCATTGGTGACCATCTCGAAAAAATTAGTCGAACTTTGAAAATCTGCTGCTAAAAAGCGAAATTATCAGGAAGAATGTTTTGTGACATAGTTCGGGACAGTGTATGATAAAGTCTGAAGTCGCTGTATTCATCTTAAAAGAATCCACCGGTACGAGTAAGTTTACAATAATTGATGAGAGAGATTAGTGAGAGTGTAATTTGCACTTTGATTTGTTATGTGTTGGTTTAAGGGGTATAATTACAGTTATTACATACATGATGCATTCTTAATTTATAATAAATTTTTAAAATAATCTTCTGAAAAATATCTTCTCCTCTCTCTTTATTACTAAATCTTTAAAAGCTTTAATAAAAATTAATGACTAATTTCTTGATGTCCAGTTTTAAATGAGGTATATAATAAAAAAAGAAAAATCGTTTCTCTAGATACATATCCTATTATCTGTAAGAAACACATAGTATAATTAATTTTATTTTCGCCTTTGTATCTGTTTTGTATCGAGCTATGTTTTCACATTTACTTTAACAAATCAAGCAAGAAATTACGGAGTTTTGCCTTTTTCCGGTAAGGTCATGGGTGAAAAAGCTCGCCATATATTGCCATTAGTATAATTAACCCAGATTTTCCCGGATTTATGGTGAACGGCACGCAGGTCAGAGCCGCACACTGCACATTATAATGGCCGACATGCCTTCGACTCCATAGCAAAAAAATTACATCGTTTAGTTGCATAATGCTTAATATAATATAGTTAATATTTATTATTTATAATTCATAACGCGTCATAGTCATAAAGAAATTGCAATGAATTATTTCGAAGTTATCTAAAAATTTAATTGTACAGAATCTCTGAAAAATCAAATTAAAATATAATTACACTGCGTGACCGATTTTAACTTTTAAAATTTTCCAAAAATCGTATCGATTTGTGTCGGAGACACGGTCCACTATCATTTCCCCAAGGAATTTGGCAAAATTAGCTCGTATAAGAATGGGGCATCAATATGAAGTTATATGAATTTTGAGGAGTACAAGTAGCGCTATTCTTAAGGTTTTGAGGTCAAATATGATCACAAATATACGCACACACTCATATACATAACACACACGCACACATACCAGCGCGCACGCAAATTTTCTTTTGCAAATAAAAGAGATGGAGTTAAGTTATATGGATATAGTAAGTATTATATATATATTTATATATATATATACTTATATGTATGTGTTCATTTCATATCACGCATCAAAACTTTCGCACGCGCCATTATCATTTTGTATCACGTAATATAAATATAAGAATGTTGTTGATTGTGTTGAAAAAGGAAAAATTGATCCTTTCTCTTACGTATGCGGTACATTTGCTGTGCCAGAGCATAAAAGGATGAATGAATCTGTCGAGAATATGAATGAATCTATCGAGGAGGTGTACAAATTTTATTTTAGTGTCAGAGTGTACAGAAATGTGCATGGAATCGTGATTGCAAATTTTCTCGGGAAACATCGATCGTATATTAACAAACAACTACCGTATATTAATAGATGATATGATGATCGCTTTGAGAAATCGGTTAATATGTCACTGAAAATGATAATTATCATAGCGTTATAATTACAAGCTCTATATGTCCATCATATTAAGGAGATAGAACACTTCGAAAGTTTCAAAAATAAAAATTTTTTAAAATTAGTTTGAAGTAATATAATTAATATGCGCGCGCTCACACACACATACACAAAATACCAAGTGGCTATTTAAAATATTTTTTCAATTATAACACTTGAAGTAGACTCGCGTATCTACGCAGATAGTCGATCTGAAGAATTTTTCAAGCGATATAATGTTGCACTCCAAACAATGTAAATATTAGATCCAAATATATATAAAAGAAAATAAAACATAGAAGAACTCATATAAAAATATTTTTCAATCAAATTTGCAAATTAACAAGTTCAATGTATGAAGTAAAAAAAATTATAAGTAAATCGCATTTATACTTTTTTCGAACTTAAATAATCTTTATTTTTAAGTTGGTCACAGTGTCTTACTTCTTTAAATCACATTATATTATCATTGATTGAATTATTAGAGTTAATCAACAATTAAAGAACATAGATGGTAATTTAGATTTACAACTTTTACGTAACAAGTGAAAGACTGCCTAATATAAGTTACATGGATAATTTTGGGACAACGTGAAAATGTATAGTTTTATCCAGGAGAATAGATCGAGTAGATATACATATACATGATGCGACACTAAATATATTAATTAATATTAATATATTAACTGATATTGACGGTCATATTCAGTTGTTGCGACATGATACGATGCTTATAGTCGTCAAATATGCTTCATGTTTTTCTATAGCACTACTATTTAGTTTTTGATCTTTGCACTTCTCAGCGCACGCCTACAATTTTTTCAACATAAAACCGATGCTTTTTGATTGATAAATTTCATGAATAAGATGTTTCACCCTTCAATAAACTTTAATCACTCTCTTACTCTCTTTGCTCTTACTTCTTTATTTATCTATTAGATAAATTATCATAATTTATCCAAGGATGAGAAACAACTAATAACTGTCCAAATTTGTCACAACATATTCGTCATTAATGTATTTAACACATTATACAAATTCATTATAAATATATTCAATAACAAGCGATGTACAATTTAAAACTGCCATTATAAGAAAAAAATTATGAAAATATACATTAAAGGTATTGAAAACGTAATTTAATATCAAATTGAATTAAAAATAAGTATTAAAAATATAATTAAAAATTGAATTAAATTAAATAACATACGTGGTTATATAATAATTCAACATTAAATTAAATTAATAGAAATACAAAACTTATACTCAACTGAACGTTATATTCACAATTGAGATTGTAATTAGTTTGTAATATCATTTTCTCCGATCTCATTTTCTTAATTCGTATTAATATTGCGCTTCCTGTGTTTACATTTACAATTATCGCAAGATTACTGATTATTCAGGAAAAATAATCCACAATAGCGCCAAACGACATCAGCAACACAATGTCGGAGGGTTGCACGAGTTGCAGAGGCGCGAATTATACGAGTGGTACTATGCAGTTAGGCACGACTACCGGAAGCTCGTCGTCTACGTCTGGAGCGACTTGTACAGCTACCAGAAAAGTCCAGATCCGCGCAAAAGTGTTATATGGCACAGGCAAAGCAATAGCGAGCTTGCAAGCGCAGGAGAAAGCGGCCAGACACTGACGAGGTAATTATAGTAACCGTAATTAACTCTTAACATTAATTATAGTAAAATATATAACATCGTTATACATACATATTTCTCCCCGACAAGATAAGTCTATATAATAAGTTTTTATCTTTGTAACTTGTTTATGAATTGGGTAAATATTTAGACTAGGACTCACATGACCTTAACCTTGACATATGTTGTCAAGATCATAACTCTAACAAGTGATCTCCAGCAAGTTTTAGCTGTCCTCGTTATTCGTAAAAAAGTTATTAATAAAAAAAAGTTAAAAAAGTAATATCTTATTTCATCTACATACAATATTTAGGACTATCACACCCTTTCCTATTTATGTAATAACTTTTCACATTCAGCGAGGTCCACTCGCACCTTCCACCTTGCCTAAAGGCGTACGATTTTCCACGCGAAGGGAGATCCACCCTATCTCACTCTTTGCCTAAGGGCGCACGACTTTCCATGCGAAGCGAAGGCCACTCTACCTGCCTCTCTTACTTAGAGTTATCGAATCTTTCATGTAAAGCAAAATAAGAAAAATAATTTTTCTTAAGAACGGCTAGATCGAATTTAATAAAAAAATGTATATATGTTATGAATATCGTTTAGACAAGAAAAAATCTAAGAATTTTTTTTGCAATTTCTGTAATTAAAAATAACTGGTAAAAAAATTTTCAATCTTTTATGAATCTTTTTTTGGTGATTTTTAAGACACCACTTTTAAATGTAATTACATACATGTACATACGTACAAACAATTTTCACTTTTCATTTTAGGGGAAAAGTTACATCGACCCCCTTATCTTATGCAAGGTATCTATTGAAAATGTTTAAACCGGCAAAAATATTCAGCAATATATTTCAAAAAAATAATTTCGTTCTAATTATTAAAAATGATATGATTGAAGATGATTAAGATAATTCTCTTAGTTAATGTGAGAATTGAGGGGACTCTCTTACATTGAAGAAGCATTCCAATGTAAATAAATAACGTAATAGGTGAGGAGATTCACAATAAAAAAGCACCCCGAAAATATAGAGTTTGAAAACGTATTGCAACCTCCTCGTGATAAATTCCGGGAGCTGTAATTCTGTAGGATAACTGTAGATCTCGCTGTAAACATTCTCAGTAGTTATATGTATTATAATATTATATCATAATTTCAATGAATTAATGTATATGCATAATAACGAAATCCTTATTCCTATTTCAATTTTCTTGATAACTGAATTTTTAATTATGTTTCACCCCTTCAATTTGATTTGGAAAAAATACACGTTAAGGTGAATAATCTAAATATGTTTTCGTAAAAATATAAAAGTGGTGTCTAAAAAATATCAACAAAAAGAAATTCATAAATAATTTGAAAATTCTTTTAACAATTTTTTTAAATTGCAAAAATTGCAAATTTTTTTTTAGATTTGCCTACACGATGTCTACATATATTTTTTTCTTTAAAATCGGTTTAACGTGCGTGCGCGCTCGCGTATATCTATAATATTATATGAATTATAAATAAATTATGAATTTTTATTAAATTAAAGCGTTCTTATAACAAATCAATAGTTAAGAAACAAGTTTAAGAAAGATTAAAAACAATTCACAACGTAACATATAAATATTGTAATATCACAAAAGATTACTAGCTAAAAGACAAAGTTAATGTGAATTTTTACATTTACTTTTTTCACTATTTATAATAATAAATAACGGGAATTGAATAAAATAATATTGTAAAATGTAACGATAAAAAGAATTTAACTTTAAAATCATTCTCTTGGAATCATTGAACTTGAGTAGATAAATATAAAAAATCCAACTTGATGATAATCGGATTAGTACAAAGTTACCAAACTATCAATGATCAAAGATTGGAGATCAATCTGAGAAATGACAATCAAACGACGTGCTAATTAGTATAATCATATCTATTTCAACGTGTCTTCTCTCCGGTATAACAAAAGCTTTCTGAATCCGTATCCGAAAAACCGTACCTAACGTCGTAACACAATTATAGGCAGATCGATGTCACGTCTTCCTGCCACGCGACGTCTTTATAAAACGGAGTCTTCCAGTAACGAGATCATCAACAGTAGACAGTGGAAATAACGAGATAACTCGCTCGAAAATAACAGTAAAAATATGCAAAAGACGACAACCGGTATCAACAAACAAAAAGTAAAGAAGCCCGGAGGCGCTATCCTTCCTCATGTATAAGACCAGTCGGTCGATCTGATCACTGGTTAGTACCTTGTTAACCGTCTTCAAGAAGACCGTCGCCTTGATTCGACTATACGATCCACGCGTGTCTCCGTGTCCTTTTTTTTATTTTTTTTGCCTTTTTCCTGATCTTGCTCTTTGCTATTTCCGCGTATTTATTTGACACTTAGTGATTTCGCGCTATCGAGTATGCACCGTCGAATATTGTGAGTGCAATCAGGATCTCATCACCGCACATGCAAAATGCACTTTGCAATTTTGTGAGTGGATATCGATAAGTGTCTCCACTTTTTCCTGATACAGATCTGCAATCCTCATTGACAAATCGCATCTGGAATATATTCTAATTAGATTTGTTAATTATTTTCAATCAATGTCTATCGATCAATGGTTGTAAATCTATATTAAATTTTGAATTAATTGAAAAAATATTTTTATCTAATTTTTGTGTTAATGTTAATTTAATACTTGAATGAATTTTGGTTAAATAATTAGGTATAAATATTTTTACTATAAACTAATTTGTATACTTTCATGATATATTCGCTATCCAAAAATTCAAGGAAAAAGATCTCTTTCCGATTCAACAAGGTCAATATAATATCTTTAGTCCATCATGCCTTTGCCGTTCTACAATTTACGATCCCGTTATATCTCTCTCTCGAGCCTGACGCCTCACGATGCCAAGTTTCATTTACTGAATGTTTCAACTCACCTACTGACCTTTTTTCTTTCTTTAAATTAATATCTCTCGTCGTAATACTAAATGACACTGTTTCTTAATTTGCTTGATCTATGATCATTTGGTAGTTATTATACATATAAGTATCATATACTTTATGATGATACAGCAACAATATGCAATTAGTTTTTAATGTCACAATTAATAAATGGCCGTTATTTTATTATCAGTTATTGACAATGAGTAACAGTTATGGAGAGATAACTTTAAAAACCACCATTATCAAATTAAAACAATTTAACGACTAAAACTTAACGACTAAATGTTTACTTTCAAGTCATAATTTTACATACTTTATAAGAGCAATCATATTTAAAATCCTAATCAACTATTTATTTGATAAATGTCTAATCATTCACAACTTAATTTGTCCGCTACAGGTATTGTAGAAATAAACTCTCTAATGCAACTGATTGTGAATAACAGCCAGCAATTAGTAAGCATTAATAATTATAATTGTCTGTAAAATCAAAATATTAACTGTTAAATTTTTATCTAACTTTTAAATTTTAGATCTAAATTAATATATCAATTAGAAGCAATTATTACATTGTCGGATAAAATTTGCCTTTTTTTGCTTTATGTGAATATAAATAATTATTTCCTCATTTTGACATCCTGAACATGAATCTGTTGACAAAAGTCGTGTTACCATTTTGAGTAAAATAGAAAAAGAGGCAAAAAACGATTTTGAGGGTCTTAAAGGTGTTGCAGCACCGGCAATTAATGTTTCTATTATATTTCATAAGTGCCACGTAAAAGTATCAACTTTTAGCTTTAAAATGCATTTTGATATAATTTTTTGTTTCTGAAATATAGCAATTTGAAAATCATTTCTTTTTCACATAATTATATATTGTTCAACGACTGTTTTTGTCACACTGGTGTAAATATAATCATTTTTGACATACGGTTGCATGCTGAACACGAATCCTTTGGTAAAGATTGATCGCACGTGTTAAAAAATGGTGTCAAAAGGGCCAAAATTTTTAAATAATAGCCATTTTTTGTCAAGCATGATTTGTTTTCAGCATGCAAAAGTATATCAAAAATTATTCACACTTGTGTAGCAAAAAAAGATTAAATTTTGTTTAACAGTGTTATTAAGCGTTTAATGATTAAATTGTTCTTAATTGGTAAATTCTTTTGGAGATATACTAATGCAATACTATCAAGGTATACTAATGCAATACTATCAATGCATAGCTATAAAAGATGTAAAAGAATATAATATAAATACAATCGCAGATGATAATCTTTCAAGAGTTGCAAAAACATCTTTTTAATACATAAAAAATGTAACCAATATTTTAAAATTGAAAAATTATTTTACCATAACCATAATTAACAATAGTTGTTTAATTAGTTAAACTGATCGATATTCAGTTAAGTTTTTTGTAATAATATTATAATAAACTATTAGTAACAGTTCAACAGAATAACTGTTTAATTAATTATTTATTATTTGGGAATAAAAAAGTATTATTATATATAATGGATTATATACATTGTATATGTATTAAAGTAATAGTTACTATTATAACTGTTTAGTAAAGATAACGGTTTAATTCTCTAATAACATTCCATGGTAAAATTCCAATTTATATAATTATATTTTTGATAACAAGGCTTCAAATATTTATTTAAATATTCTAATATAGAGAAATGCAAAAAGAGAGCGCTATTGCAATAAGCGGTATCCGTGTACGTTTTATCGTGAGTTTGAATGAGAAATACTCATGCTTGATCATATAGATTAGTTCGCGATAAGGTCAATGTCACGAGTAGGTAAAACGTGACATAAACGTTGTTTGAATGTTACTTCTAACACGGTCAATATCGGAACTCACGCATCAGTGAAAGTTGGATTGCTATTGAAATACCATGCAAAATGCTTTAAACATTAAAAACGCACAGCACTATCTTTAGTTATTATGTAATAGCATTAGATATTAGTAAGAATATAAATTTATATCTAACATTTGCTTTAAGATGCATATACATGTGTTATAAATTTTGCATTCGATATGTATATAATACACTACAATACAGTTGTTATTTTAATTGTTAGCCTAGTTGTCTCTTCCCTCTCCTGCGCATTATCGAAATCGAGGGAAGCGAATGATAAAGCAGAATCTTACGCCAAGAGTCAAACATCGAATCATGAAGTAAAAATTTCCGGCAAACCCGAGCAATCGTTTTTCACATCAACGGCCGCTCTGGGAAAGCGAATAAACATTTCGTTGGATTATAAACATCCTTTAATATCGGAGATTCAAGAAAACAACGCAAATAATTCATATCCAGTCGAAACGGCGCATTTGAAATACGTACAGAGATTGCTAAAGAGAGAGATAGAAAAGATAACAGCGGATGTGTTACAGCCGAGAGATTCCAACATAATCACGTATATTCCTATGAAGGAGACGAATCAGACAGAAGATAGAATCCGATATGAATTGTTGAACGCATCGCGCATATCTGAAATCTCTGGAGTAACAGAATCGACAGAAAACAAAAAAGAATATGAAGAAACTAGAAAAACGGAAGATAGACTCAAAGAGGAATTTTTGGACGGATCGTTAAATAACGCTGACGTTAAAATTTCGGAAACATTAAACAACGCAGAAAATAACAATTCACAAGTAAAATTTTTTCACACACACACACAGAAACGGAACAATGACGTTCAAACAAATAATTATTTTAATAGCAGTAGCATTTCGTTGATGGAAACACGTTCTAAACAATCGGACAATATCTCGAGTTATCTGATCAATACTGAAACACAGAATGCTGAATCGAGAGCCGATAATCAAACTCTGGAGAGTCGCGTCGATAAACAAAATTGGAAATTTGAGGAAGACAGTTTGCTGGAAGCTGCGAATTTTGGATTACAAGCTATGCATGACCTTTATTATGTCCAAGAACCTAAATTGTACTCAATGGGTAAGCGCTTAAAGAAAATTCATTAATTCATGGCATGAACAATTTTATCATGTTAATCATTATAATTAAATGCGTATATATTAAAAAAAAATCTTCTATGTGAAATGCAACATGCAGGTCTCTATCTGGAGAGCGATAATCCAGCGAGATACGTAGCAGCATTTAATGATCAATCAGAGGAAGCAAGAGATCTTGCAAAATTCGGATATGCGGCCCTTCAAGGTACTTCTATGTTTTTAAAAAAGTAAGTTTCTATAATAAGACTTTCTATATGGTTTCTAATAATGGTATGGTAAATCTTTAATGTCGAAATAAGAAACTTTATGGCTATTCCTACTCTTATCATTTTATCAGGTTTCCTAATACGTCGTTGGAATTACCCTTAATCCGAAATAAACTCATCAAAAGAACCTCGTTGGAACAACAATGTCCACAAAGAGACCCACCTCGATGTCCACCGGCTAGCCTAAGATACAGAACGTCTGACGGCAGCTGCAACAATCTGCAGAATCTCTGGTGGGGTTCTGCGATGTCTGTGATGCGTAGGTAAATCTAAACAATGTGTGAACAGTCTCTTAATATAAAAATAGAAATAAAAAATATTGAATATATAAAAATAAAAAACGTTTCAATCGTGTTAAAAAATTATCATCATGTTCAGATTTCTTCCACCGGAATATCACGATGGCGTTCAAAGTATTAGAAGGTCGAAGAACGGAAGGCCGCTCCCAAGTGCACGAGATATCTCAAACTTAATCCATGAAAATAAAGATGTACCTCTAGCTTCCGTTACTCACATGCTAATGCAGTGGGGGCAATTTGTAGATCATGATTTAACAGGTATGTAATTAAAAATTCCTTTTGTTTCATATTAATTTGCATTTTTCAACTAAATAAAAATAATTAAATACATCATGTAAACAGCAACTGGCCAAAGCAGAGGATTTAATGGTACAGTACCACGATGTTGCTTACAGAATGGCATCGGTTTTCAACTGGCAGAATTTATGGTAATAAATTACTCAATAACTATAGTTATAACTTTTAGCCGTAATATCGATAAGTACCTATTATCCATTGAAGAATTTTTTAAAACATTAAAAAATGTAGCATTTATGTTATATTGGGTATATATCTCTACAGCATAAATTGTTACAGCTATATTGCAGAAATAGATATAACTTTGATAGACTGCAATATTTCATAAAATATTGTTGTAATATTATAGCAATATTCCTCGAATCTATGTTCACTAAGATAAATATTGCTGCATCATTACGCAATATTTCAATAATTGATCTAGTTTTATTGTTATAATTGCTAAAATATGTACTATTATTAGTATCACATTCTCAAATACACATGATAAAGTCATGATAAAAAATTATTCGAAGGCCTAGAAATCACATTCGAAAGAGCTTGGGAATCTCCAGGAAGCTTATATTAATTGCATATATTCATTTTGATATCCGAAAATCACAGTGCTAGAAAAAAATTAAAAAATCTTCCTTATGTGACAGTCGCTGTGATTTTCAGTGAACAATTTGGAAACTTTGAAAATATTTGTCAACTCGATTTGTATATTACTCCTCCTTATAGGATTCCTGTGTGTATGGATGTTTCCTTCTTAAGAGAAGCGCGTCTATCTCGCAGCGAGGCCGCATATTTATTTGTTAAATCATAATATTATAAAAATATGTTACAATATTTATAATAGCTGGACATGAAATGTTGCAGTTATGACATGATAAATTATAGCTATCTGCTACATATAGTAATGTTCTCCTAACAGCTGTATAAAAAAAAATTATTTCAGGATTTAGAGCTACCGAAATTTATTTTTTTAATATTAATGCAATTCCTGATTATGCACTTGTTAACTCTAATGATAATATAGTATATCAACAACTCTTTCTTAAGCGAGACCAATTTCTCCGTCACTTCCTTTAATTAGGAAATGATTGTAATGAAGTTGAGCTGATTAATACAGTTAATTCCAGGGTTTTACAAGATGTACAAAATATTGATATTGTTGATTCAAAACTTGATAATCTTGACCAAAATGTACAAGCTGTTTCTTTTACAAAAATTTTAAATTAAGTTTCTCCAGTACCATCTATAACAAAAGATCGTATGTTAATACGTCGAAAGGATCAAACTGTTCATTTAATGTCTTCTAAAAACATTTAAAAAATTAAAAAAAATATGGTCGTAAAAAAACAATTCCAAAAACTATTAGAAAATTTTTTAAAGAAACTTAGAATAAAATAATTTATACTAGAGCTGTTACAAGAAGTAGCTTTAAAAACAAAAAAATAAGAAATTAAATTACGCGTATCAGGTATTCAATTAAATGTATGTATTGGTTGTGAAAAGGACTGAGTTTACAATTGTTGAAAAAGTAGATTGAATTTAATGTATTCGTTGCAAACGGTAGCTGTACGACGGGTTCGTCATTTGTTGATGTTTGCTAAAGGTATGGGAAAATCATTTCAAAAACTGAGTAATAGGCATACACACACATACATTATTATTATTTTTTTTTAATTTTATAAATCTTTGATTAGTTTCCTTACAAAATAAATCTTTCATTTTTTAAACATAAAACATACATGGCTAACTATCCCGTAATATTAATGTTACATCATGACCACAATGTTGTGCATTTCTTTTCACTAATAACAAGATGAATAAACTGAGCAATAACTGATACAATCGAGTTGGATGGGCAGCCTGCATAACCCATTAGTACTATCTAGGATTCACAGTGTAAATATCTACTCGTATATAAACAGCGAGTAGATTATATTGAGTATTAGGCCATGATAAGATTTGGTTACCCTACTGCTAATATGTATATGTCAATAGCATCCAGAGTGTCTTCCAATAGCAGTGAATTTGCACGACAATTTCTATGGTCCTTTGGGTGTAAGGTGTTTGGAATTTCTCAGAAGCGGACCGGCTCCTAAGGAAAACTGTGAATTTGGCGCGAGAGAGCAATTGTCCCAAGTGACCAGTTATCTGGATGCCTCCATGGTTTACAGTAGTAATGCCATGCATAGTGATAGTCTGAGAATATTCCGGAATGGTAAGTGCACTTCCGACAGTTCGATAAAAAAGAAAAAAGAGAGGAAAAGCCCGTTATCTGTTACTAAAAATTCATTACTAATAAATCCCGAAAATAATTTGGAAATTCAGATAACAAAGAGTATCAGAGGAATGTATTAAGAATACCATATAGTTCATAGCAAATGGTATGTTGATCGTATTCGTACGTTGATCTTGCACTTATTCTATATTTTCACTTATATACAAATTTTCATGTATTAACGATATAAGATTAAATACAATCCCATATGTATCACATTTGATCACATTAACTTTTAGTATCGATATGAAGCAAAATCTTGTTTTCTAATTAATTGTAGAGCGTCGTACGACGCCAAAATGTGTAATCAGAGAGGTGAAACATAATGAGGTGGACATCGCCGAATTTCGATCAATCAGACGTTTGCGGCATTGCAAGGCATTTCAAGATCATGTTATAGCCATGATGGAATTATCTATGATTATGTTTACACGGCATCCTCAATCGGGTTTAATGATATCCGTGATAGTCATTTCTGTTACGTTTCTTTGTCAAAAAAAGAAGTGCATCACGATGAGTTACACAAGTGGATAATATTGTGACATGTCGCTAATTTTGAACCAGTGTAACAATGAGGCTGCTGCTAAACGGTATGCAAAATATTACTCCTATAGATGTCATTCACACGCAATTATAATTAGGAAAGCAGATTTGATTATGAGAAACGGGTAGCATGATCATTCATCGGCAAGATGCTGAACGAAATGTACGATTGCCATAGAGGAAGAAATCTTGGACATGATCGAAGAAGATCCAAGCATAAGCACTCGTGCCATGTCGCGTCGAATTAATGTGTCGCACTCTACATCCTTTTTTTATAGTCTATAAAAAGTCTATCCTTCTTTTGCGAGATGAACGAATCCATATCGTCTCTGAACGGTGCGTATAAAAGAAGAAGATGCATTTTCTCGAGACATTTTATCTCAATATTGTCAATATAAATTTTCCAAATTCTTGGATTGGCCGAGATGGTCCCGCCGCGTGACCCTCAAGATCGGCTGACTTATATTCACTTGATTATTTCCGATGGGATCATTTATAATAATACATTTTTTAAATCAAAATTCTGTGGAAATACTAGAGGATTTGGAAGAACAGCTTCATTATGCGATAGGAACTGTCATACTTATTAAATTAGCCCTTTTCAGAACCACAAACATTTTCAGAACGTTGGAATAATAATCTTGCGTTGAAATTATATTCATGAATTGTCTAATCTATTTATTTTACTTTCAATCGTTTCTCTTCAACGATATTAATTAGAAAATATTCTGTTCTTGAATAAGTTGTATTCAAAATAGCGATATATTTAGAGATATCATACATAGTTTTTATAAACTCTTTTAACAAAATAGCAAAAAATAACGTATATGCTCAGGTAACGTGGAGCGCGCTCATTCGTTAATTTAAAATTGTTCTCAGTTAAAAAATACTGTTTTAACGCAATTTTGCCAGAAGGAAAAGTTGCTTCTTTTGACACATGCACTCACGCTGTGCAATCCGTGTCCTCGAATTCTGAAACATCCTGTATAATAATAAATTAATGTCTGATTAATCAATTAATTGATTTTTCGTTAGCTGCTATATTGATGTTTGAATAAATGACATTTCACTGCTGCTTGACTTCGCATTACCGCGGCAAGCGTCTGATTGGCTGCAAAGCGTTTAAACACCCATTACTTTACTGATCACTGCGCATCCTTCGGAATGCTTCATCTTTGCCTAATTTGATTGACCAAGGTGTGTTCCAGTTTCATCACGTTCCCGTAATCGGAACGAAATCTGTTGAAATATTGCGTTCTGTCATTTTTCGAGTTAACATACGGCTAAAAGAAAACAAATATCAATAAAATAAATCATGTTTGTATGTCTGAAATTAACAACTGGTGAAAGATAATTTTGTCAGAAAACATTTCAGAAATCAGTTCGACGAGAAGAACATTTTTATCCTTTTATTTCCAGGCTTACTGCAATACGGAAGAATACAATCGCGGAGATCTTCGCTTCTGAAACGTAAATCGGATTTATGCAAACGCGGATCTTTGTCTACAACTTGCTTCCGGGCTGGTGACGGACGTCTAAGCGAGCAACCTGCTCTCACGTCTCTGCACGTTGTCTTTCTGAGATTGCACAATAGGATAGCCACGGAACTATCAGCTTTGAATTCTCATTGGAGCGACGAGAAACTTTTTCAAGAAACACGAAGAATCGTTGGCGCGATAATCCAACATATAACTTATCGAGAATTTTTGCCGATCATTCTTGGTAAGATAATTTCCAATTCAATAGTTAATGTATTTATCTGAATATAAAACGGTCGATAGTGTCATTAAAGACTATAAAGAAACAAAGTGTTTTAAAATAACAACACTAATAACGTTCTCCAGGCCCTCAGGTGATGAAAATCTTTGACTTGGAACTTCTTAAAAAAGATTATTATAAGGGATACGATTCGACAGTAAATCCCACCATTGCAAATTCATTTTCTACAGCAGCTTATCGATTCGGACACTCACTGATCCAGCGGAGTTTTATTAGATTTGATAGCAATCACAGACCCATTTTTAATAGTAAGTAAAATTATAGTAGGTATTAAATATTACTAAATGTAAATATTTTAAGTATTATCATTATATTATTTATTGTTTAAAAGTACTTTAAAATCTATTTTTTAGACGATTCGTGATTTCAGAAGAAAAATAACCGTTTCTATTTTTTTTAATTTTCAAATTTTAATTTTTAATAATCAGATAAAAAAACATAAACAATCAAAATACATATGTATTATATATGAAGTAAATTTTAAAATGTGCACATATGAAATAATAAATATAATACATGTGTGAAATTGTCTCCGCACTTTTCGAAAATTTTGTAATTTCCTTAATTGTGCTGTATATTGCGTTACACTTGTGTCAAATTGTGCCGTAAATCGCAACTCAATAACATAAACCGTTTTTTAAAAAGAAAACATTTCTTTTGCTGGCCTTCGTAATTTTTAAGAATAAAAAATTTTAAAACTGTGTAACTCGCAGAATTCGATTATTTTGCACCAATTGGAAGTTACACGGTTTGAAATTTTGCATTCCTAAAAATTCCTAACTTCTGATTCATAATTTCGTCGATACTGCGAAATCTAAGGAAATTTTGCCATTAGGAAAAGTTGTTGTACTGTTGTAGCACAATCCGGCATAATTAAAAAAAATCCAAAATGTCAAATTCTTTATTTAGAAAATGATAAACTCTATGAATTGCATATGATAAAATTTACTTTTAAGTAATCAATATCATAGAACATAGAACTAAACATATAGAAGTAAACAATATTGTAGAAAATCAGTAATTAGTAATTATTTACATTATACTCACACACGACATTCGCCACCTTATCCATAGTTATCGTATGTTTTTATTTAATTAATGAAGCTATCGCAATGCAAAAATAAAAAATAATAATACGTTATTGTCACAGATGTTTCGATTCATGACGAGTTTACCAACTCTGCAAATTTGGATACTGCGGGGTCCGTCGATCGCCTTCTTCTAGGCTTAGTAAATCAACCATGTCAGAGGCGGGACGAGTTCATAACTGAAGAGATGACGAATCATCTTTTTCAAACGCCTGGTTTTCCATTCGGCATGGATCTTGCTTCCATCAATATCCAGCGGGGTAGAGATCATGGTTTACCGCCTTACATCCGATGGCGTAAGCCTTGCAGCCTGACTCCGATAAGAACCTTTGAGGATCTTAACAAAGTGATGTCACCGAACGTCATAAGAAAATTTAAATCATTATACTTGTCGGTGGAGGATATTGATCTCTTCTCTGCCGGTCTAGCGGAAAAGTCGGTAGTTGGCGGTCTAGTTGGTCCGACTTTCGCTTGTATAATCGCTCAACAATTTAATAATCTGCGACGTGGTGATAGATTCTGGTACGAGAACCCCAACAGCGAAAGCAGTTTCACCATCGGTCAGTTGCAACAGATCAGACAAGTCACTTTGGCCCAAGTACTATGCCAAACGATGGACGACATTGAAACCATACAACCATTTGTTTTCCTCGCGACAGATACGTTGAAAAATCAACGTTTCTCTTGCAATGATTTAGCCATTGGACATTTGAACCTTGAACTCTGGGCCGAACGGTCATTCGAATTAAAGAACAACGTCGACAACTCGCAAAAAGTTAAACGAGCAGTGACTGATACAAGTTTCTCTATTTCTATGTCAAAAGAGGAAAACATCCAACCTAGGAGAAAAGTTAATTCGGAAAGTAATCCTGAACATACAAAAGTTACAACTCCAAAACCTTTTCGAAATAATGTTAATCAAGAAAACAAAGTCATTATAAAAAAGCCACTTGTGCGTCCAAATGATAATAATGTCACGATTGTGGTCCAAAATAATGCCATAAACGCGCCTGTTTTCGTCAACGAAGGTATCTATGGTTCACATATCAAAGTTCAGGAACAGGTTCCTATTTTTCAACCGCAGGGAAAACCTATACCGACGACTATCCCTCATGCACCAAATTTTCATTTAGCACGTCAACCGTATGTTCCATACTCTTTTAATGATCCCCATAATCCAAATCCGCCAGCCTATGGATATAGATTGCCTTCTTTCACACAGGATGACATATTTTACGACAACTTATACTCTGCCACTAGTCCCAGACCTACTCTCTACACTTATTACACAAATTTTCAGCAGGCCACTACGCCAAAGATCGACGGTTACTTGATTAATTACGGACTTTTAAATCACAATTCAATTCCACCATATCCTTACGGAGAATCTAAACCTCAAGAAAATTTCGGACATTATGATTTGAAAGATGAACAAAATTTAGCGCAAAAACCAAATTACGTTGATCCTAATCATTCGATAAACATGGGATTAACCAGACCAAATTATGTATCAAGTGATAAATCTTATACACATAAACCAAATCATAATGAATATAAATATCCAACAACCACGCGACTCCGACCAAGTTATGCAACGAACGATGAATTTTATTATACACACAGACCAAGTTATAATAGACGTAAACCTTCAACAACTATACGATCGAATTCTCGACCGAATTATGAAATAAACAATGAATCTTATCAGACTCACAGACCATATGGTGGATATAAACCTTCCACGAATGATGAATTATATCACGGATCAGATTACAATACACCTAAACCTCCGGTCAACTCGCGACCAAGTGAAGATTTGAATCATGCGCAAAAACTACTTTATAATGGATTTACATCTCCAATAAACTTCCAACCAGATAAACCAAATCAGGAACCATATGATATACAAAAACTGAGCGATGTCGGAAATTTACATTTACAACATAGTGATTTAATTAACGGACTGAATGAAGGTCATTCCATTAATCTTAATAAATCACAATATCAGGAACAATGGAACTCGAACGATCAAAAGAGACTTGGCGAGACACCGTATAATCACGACGGTTTTAATCTATATCAGAGAAAGCCGAATGTTAAACCACTAAGTTATAGTACTGTTAAGACCCATCAAACATTTTTTACTACTAAACCAAGTAATGAATATAACTCTCAACTTTGGGGAAAGGATTCGTTGCAGTCTATCAAGGATTCTGTACAAAGCGGACTTTATGGATCTGTTCCCAGTTCTGAAACGAATATTCCTTCATATCAAAAAGATACATTTACAGATTCTACTGTTTCGTCTTCTATAAATAATAACTACGATCGATACTTTGACACTACTCCGATTTATCAAAAAATATTGTCATCTACTCAAAGTGATTGGACAGACGTCTTATCTCAAAGTACTCAATCTCCTTTTAGCAAAGATATATCTCCATATAATTTATTTCTATTCAACCAGACATCAACAAGTCATTCGACCTATCAGAAAAATGATCAATCAAAAGTGCCTTCAAAAGTATTAGACAACAAACCTTTTGTTAATGTAAATTCACATGAACATAATTCTCATAAAAGTTCATCAAAATTATCTAATTTAAATGAGCAATTATTATCCAGCACTTCATATTGGTCAGAAACTTCAACAATTGGTATTCAAGTACATAAACAAGAGGAAAATTTAAATCCTAAACAAACAAAAGTGCAAAGTGTCACAATCGTCAATGAAACGATCGAAGCAGTCCACCATCCTGGTCATACCGAATGGATATCTCAACATAAAACTACTAGTGAAATTTCAAAACCATTGGTACAGCAGATAAAGAGCCATGTACCTGTTATTAAGAAAGCCGGACAGTATTATTATGAGAAAAATGTATTGTATCAATATCCACATGAAACAGTTACCCAAAGTCCCAAAAATAATCCCTATTTGACAGACAAATCTGACGAAATACTTATTCGGGATCAAAAAATGACATCCGAGAAAATTACAGTAGAAACATCAGTTATTGACAATCCCATAACGAACTCTGGAGTGATTCAAAACGAAAATAAATTAAGAACAACACCTATGCTTGCAATCACTGTTTATGATAATCATGCAGGTGACGTGGACAATGTTTAAAGTGCTTTCTCAGTAGATATCGAAAGTGCACCGACTGATGTTCCCCCGACAAATATTTCTCTTAAATTTTGTTCACATAAACAACTACACTTTGAAATCGTAACATATACATGCTTTACATATAGACTACAGACAAGCATGATGTTTCATTGGAGACACTATTTTGCTATATAATCGTGTAACATATTTTTAATTAAATATTTTTCCATTAAATATCTTAGATATCTTTAATTATCTGTTTCACCTATATTATTTGATAAACTTGAAATGTCAATAAATATTTATGTTTCAATTTAAAACTTTGATAAAATTATTTTTTGCTAGTAAGCAAATTACCAAAAACAATTTTATATCTGCAAAAATATCCGACCCTTTTTTAGAATATTTCTTTGAATAAATTTGCAAAAGAACTTAAATTTACAATAGAAATGGTTGCAATTCTATCCGATAAATCCGCAAGTGTCAAAGAATTACCTTAGCCCATAAAATTGTAAAGTTGTAATACTTAGAGTTCTCTCTACACTTATTAATTTGACCTCATTATTTTTATTTGATATAATATAGAAACTTGATCAAATGTTGAGAATAAGTTTGTTATAAAAATAGAGGAGATTCCTGAATTTTTTTTCAAATTTTTTTACCGTATAGTTTCTTTTAAATTATTTTTTTAAATACCTTACGTCCTTATGAGAAAGAGGGTTTTAACTAATTTATTTAAAAACAAAATATAAGAAAATTTAAAAACTATATTTATATGAAGGAATGAAGTTTAAAGAATATTTAATAATAAATAATAAAAAAATTATTTATAAAAAAATTGAAATTTGACCGTATCATTTTTATGTGGGATTATGAAAACATATTATATGATATAACGTCTATATCGATTAATCGACATCCTTTCACGAAAAATAAATCACTTTCTTCTTTTTCCATCGCTTTCTTTTTGGCATTGTTTTTACCAAAAATGTATTGATGTATACTCTTTTTTAATTGTTTTTCGGTAATAAATCAACCTTTATATCTTTTCTGCGACATTTTTGCTTGACTAGGTATAGTTCTGTTCCCTACTTTCTTAGTATTACCCAATATTACCAACTATTGAATAAGTACTCTGTTGTCACATTTCTATTAGATTAAATAATTATATAAACAATTTTTCTTCAGCATTTTTTACATAAGTATATTTTCATAAAAAAAATTTTAATAACAAATTATAATTTTAATGCTTACATTTTATTTATTATTTGTTTCTTAAAAAATGGCAATGGCATTTTCTATCTTGTGTGCTCCTTATATCAAAAAATAAGGAAAGTTATCCTCCTCATTTTTTTAAGGTGAAGAATCTTCTTAACAGATCATGTTTTAATTAATATTAATAAAATGCAACAGATTGTTACTGAAAAATAAGAGAATGTCGCTTCAGGAAACCTATATAGTATCGGCGACATTCCTCTAACAATGTATGTAGGAAAGTTTATAAATTCTAAAAATAAAAGAAAGAAAATTCATCTTTGCGCGTTCGTAAATTTCTATCTTCTAGACTATAGATATTAATCTTCTAGAATAGATATTAAGATCGTAATCAAAATAAGTTCTATCGAGACAAATACAATGTTATACTTTTATTTCGTGCGTTTCCGTCGTAGTACATTGTCCCCTAGGGAAAGAATGGAAAAGGAATCAATTACAACAGAAACGAAGCCATTTTTTTTCTATACAAACATCAATTCGCTACTGTACATAATTTATTCGCACGCACGCGTGACATGATTACTCTTTTTATGAATCATGTATTCGAGTGATCATGTTTTCGAATATGAGGGATAAACGAGGGAAGGAAGAAGCAAAGGAACTTGGGCGCGAGAATTGTCTTCGCCCGGATTTCAACTATAATTAACTTACATCGCCGTCGCATAGGCACAACTATAATTACATCACGATGAGTGGATTGTAAAATAAAAATTGTTTTTCTCCCACTTTTTCTTTTGTTCAAAAAAATCTCTCCTTCTGGCTACCTTGTGCGTATATTATCGCTCCTTTTTCTCGAAATATTTACAAATATTTCAGTCACTTTTCGCGCCTCTCACTTTTTCACATCATTGTAATATTTATCTGTTAACGGTTATTTTACATTCAACATCAATAAACATTCACGTAATGCTAATAAAATTTCTATTATCTTCACGACCGAACGGGAATCCAAGGAACACATAAAAGTCAAAAAAATCAAAATGATTTTATTTTGATTCTCAACGTCAATAAACAGTCAAATTTTGTAACAAAAAAATCATCATTTTGACTTTTGTGGTGTCAAAGTAAAATTATTTTGACTTTCTCTTGACTCTTGGCGTGTTTCTTGGGAAGGAGCGCGGATGCTCGTTGATTATCAACGATACGATCATATGCGTCTAAGCAAAAAAATAACAGAGAAGAGGCAGAGGATACAGATTGCATAATTAAATCAATCGCTGGCTTTTTTTGTTAAGTTTGATACCAGACAACTTGGTACTAAACTAAACTCACCTTAAATCGTAATTCTTATTTTATTTTTTCTTTGCGACATCGGCTTTCAATGGATTCAGCACGGTGCACAAACTTATTACGTAGTTATGCAGTCAGTGAGATCGTCCCCTCATAATTCATCGATCTTTTGCCACTTCTCATCGATAAAAAAAATATGTGCACCATCCTCTTTAAGTGCAGGTGGCCCCTTGGTGCACGATACTACTGCTCAATAAGCGTGATATTCAAGGGAGGTCTTTAAATATACAGCAAATCGGATCTGCGATGCGAAGGACGGATTTCACGATAGATACCCGCATTGACACTGGGATTATGATTCTTCGTTTGATAAATCGATATTACGTAAGTTTTCGGTGGTCGAAGTAAAAGGAATATGCAGGATTTGCAACCTACACACACACCACGCACACGCACACATCCACGCACGCACGCACGCACGTGTTTTCTTATTCTTATTCCAAGGGATCTACTTTTTAAATACATATATATTCTCTTCGCTGTTTGCGAATAGTTCCATATAAGTGTATACGCTATGCTAATTAATCTTAGTGGTTGAACATGAAATGTGCGACGCGATCTCGGAACGTTTGGAAAGTTCGTCGCGATAGTATTGTGCAGTAATATTGTGCAGTTGGGGTAGTATTCAGAAAATCGTCTATACACTACAGCATTATATTTATCTTCAAATCGATTAATATGTTGGTTGCCGTACTATTGCTTTCTTCTAATCAGATACAATTACGTATACATGTGGGGCAAAGTGCCAATTACTTTTTCAAAATTTTGCGAAAATTCACCTTTTGTAATAACATGAAAGTTAATTTATCTTTTTGATTAAATATATTTTCTTTCTTATAGAAACTTTTCAAGATAAATCTGATCTGAGGCTTATATCTGCAGATTCTTTGTTACTATATGATTAATGTTTACAAATGAGATAAAAATAAACGTACATTCATATGCATATAACAAAAATAAAAAACCAGGAAATGGAAAGTTATACTTTAAAAATAGCTAGTTACCGTTATTGATTACTAAGTAAAAAAAAAACTAATTACCGTTATTATAAACCCTGGATTCACGATGTTAAAACTCAGTCCGAGTTCTTAGATTCAGGATTCTTAGATTGTGTAGCCAATCAACGTGTAGTTTTTACGGAAAAATGGCAAGTTGATTGGTTACACATTTCTCCGAGAATTCGGATCGAGTTCTAGCACCATGGATACAGAGCTTTTGTTACTGATTTTCAAGTTACTTGTTATCGTTACTTAAAAAGCAATGATTTATAATTTTCCGCTATTTCTTAATGCTGAAACCGTCATTATTCGATTAAAATAATAATTAATGATAGTTACTTTGAAACTAAGCAATCTTAGAAAATTAATTTACATTTTGACATATATGTGTGGAAGTTAAAAATAATAAAATATTATTTAACTTAAGAGATTCGATTACCATTGACCTCTTGTGTGTGATATTTAACTGTGTACATATTCAGTTCTATAAATCACGCGCCAATTAAATTTTCAATCTTGAAACACAATCTAATTGAGAAGATACTTTCCACAATAGATATGGAGTACATGGCATCACTTCCGTTAAACTTAAAGATTGGTATTCATAAAGTTTGTTCTTATGTTAACACTGCAGTCTTAAGTAGTATTTGCATAATATGATTTACGAATGTGCTAAAATTTTAAATATAAGTAAGTTGAAATGTTCTTTATGTTTGTGTGCAATTAGAAACATATTGACTGTTTAATTTTTGAGATAAAATTGCAATTAAAATTTGCAGTTTTAAGGCCGGAATCAGACTACGCATTGAAGATTGAAAGATTAAAATTTGGCCAATCAAAATAATAGGAGTTAAAATTCCTTTATCCTCATTGGTCAAATTTCAATTTTCAATCTCAATCTTCAATGCGTAGTCTGATTCCGGCATTACATATTATGCATATACATATGATGCATATGAGTAAAAAGTAAAAGTAAAATATTGACCAATCGTAATCGAATATAGGAAAAATAATCGAGTATGATTGGTCAGTTTCTTAGTCCAGATCTTTATACAGACAATAGCGCTTTGACACCGAACGCTGATTGGTAAAAAAAACCGGTTGTGGGAGTAAAATTTACCTGTTTCATCCGCTTTTCACCAATCAGCGCTCGGTGTAAAAGTGCTGTTGTCTGTATGAGAATCCGGGCTTACTCTTGCTTCTTACTTCGTGTATTGTAGACGACGCATAAGACATCATAAAACAATCACAGAGCCGAATTAGCATTTTAAGATATTACCTAAAACTGTTTTAAAATAAGAAACTAATTATGAATACTGTGATCAAAGATTAAAGATTGTATATTCATAAAATTATTCATAAATAGATTCGAAATATAAAAAGTAACGATTAAAGTAATTGTACAATTAATTACTGCAACATTTACAAAAAAAAGAAATAATACCGTGACCAGCCCGTTACTAAGAAAAATAACGGTAACAGCGTTTTACAAGTAACGTTTTTATTTCTTACAAATAACGTGTTCTTGTATGCGCCATAATGTATAAAACAGCAATTATAAATTAAAACAAAAAATATAACTAATTTGTTACTTTTAAAATAATAGATTAATAATACTCTTTGTTTTGTTATGCATAACAATCTATAAGCCTCTTCGTCCTAACTATACTAATAACTAACTATAAAACTGGTTCAGATATTATTCGTCGTTTTAGACTCAAATCCTTTAATTAAAGTCTTAGATTAAACTTTTTATTCTTCTCTCTCCTTTCGTTTCATAGAATTTTTCTCTTATATTATTTTTATCAACAAAATTTGTCTGCATCAAAATTGATCACTTCCTAAAAAATATACTTTTTATTCTAAACTGTTTATAGACGATGCTACCAGACTCTTTAGGAACTTTTTTTTCTTTATTTATTATTCTATTTTGAATATTTAAAAAAAAAGAATACACTGCATTGGATTGACACGCATTAAAAGATGTACATGAAACCATTTTGTTTTTTATTTCTTAGCCTGGTAACATGAGTCTAATTAAACAGAAAGTACATTTACGTAATCATTATTATCAACTTTGTAGTACATTAGAACGTAATATATTTCTTTACAGGCATTTTATAATTTTAATAGAATAAAGATAAAATTTTTACTGACTCTTCAAAAAGGTATCCTTATTGATTCGAGGTATCCAAGTATTTCTCTATTACATCTGTCATGTATTATAAAAGCCTTCACTGATTTCGCAATGATAAATGCTTGAATACGACGAACTATGATATAAGGAATAATGAGATCTCTTGAGCAGCTTATATTTGCATATATCCTTGATAATACGCATACAAAACGCGAATAAAACACTGAGATCGGTACATGAAATATAACATTATGTCTCTCGAGTATTATACTTATACAAATTAATATTAAAAAAAAATTATACAAAGTATAATTTGAATTTCCGTGTCGGAATATACACATCTAAAATATAAAACAGACATCTATTTCATCAATACTTATCACACGATATTTTGAGGTTGTCTATATTCACGGTTTTTCATAATCAATAATTAATTATCTGTTAAAGGATGCATCAATGAATTTTAATTACTTGTATATAATATTTTTTAATGTTTCTCAGTGGTTATATACTGAACATTACTATGGATGTAGAATCACTTTGAGTAATTATGATAGAAAAATACAAAGTTAACTTTAAACTTTTTATAACTTTTTAACTCAATTGATTTGAAAAATGTTTTTTAAATGTTATATAAATTTGATATTTTGAATATATGTAAATTAATTAGAGGTAATATAATCAATTTTAATTAAAAAAATGGTTAAGCTACGTATTTTGTCACGATTACCTTATAATATAGGGCTATTTGTAATATTATGAAGAAAAATTGCAACAGAATATACAGCCATATTACAAATAATTGAAACTAGTATTCTATTAAAAAATAATAGAATAAATTTTATCTTTTTTAAAATAATATTATTTATTTGACGGATACTGTTGTATGTATAAGAAAAAAAACTATTTATATTTTTAAACTACAATATCTTGGAAATAAAAAAATCATATTGCAATGCGAAATACATTTTAAAGCTAAAAGTTGATTCTTAATGTAGCATTAATGATATTAAGCAAATAAATACTACCGCTCATTAATTTCAATATACCTCCAGATTCGTTGATTTCTCTGAAAAGAATGAACGTAATACGTGTTTTTCATATTTGTAAACAATGTGTATGAGTACAAAACATGTTTATTCATCTAAATAAATCCATATTTATCACACAGCTTCTTTTGTTCATTATTCATTATTTTCCGAAAAAACGACGATTAGGATATTGTATTAAAATTAATGAGCGAGATAGTGTATGTGTTGACGAATGGGTTTCAAAATAGCATTGAGCATGTGTCTGATATCAACACAACACCTCATGATCTTGCGTGCGTATTTTGTTTATTTTCAAAAATCAAATGTTATCCGGTTGTTAGTCCTGTTTCTTAGAAACTACAATCTTCAAGGATTTTTATATAAATAATTAATTATCCGATCAGAGTCAAAATTTGTAACTCTTATATAACGCTAATTTTTATTATTTTTTAAGTGTATATTATTAAATCTGTTATTTTTGGCTCATAGCTCTTCATTACACATTTATTTTAATTTATTCATTAGTTGAGCTATATTACATCATGTATTTTAACTATAGATATATAATTTACATTTTGAAAACTAGCTTAAAATCGTTGGTTTGTGCCTTTTAATTACTATTTTTCTGAAATTGTAATGTGATAGCTAATTTTTGCCAACACATACATTCGTATTCAATACGCGAAAATACATGAAAATGACTATTCACATTCATATTATAAAGTGATGTTGCATATATGTATAGTGTAATTATTAAATTTAATAATTAAAAATTATTATACTTTTTATTTTAGAGAAAAATAAAACGGCATATGATTAAAACAGTATCCGATTAAAATACTATATAATTGTTTAAATAATGTTTAGTTTTAGATTTTTCATATGTAGTTTTTACAAGTCCATAAAAGTTCTTTTTTATATTAAGAAGCATAATTATTTTTAGCGTTTAATAAAAATAAGACTAAAATTTGTTTTTTATTTAAATATATTGCAATGTTATAGTCACCTTACTATCACAATTACACATAGTGATCCTATGTTTAATAATAAAATTAGACCTAAATAATTACATTTGATCAAAATTTGTTCATCAAAAAATAGCATTTCGTATAATATGAAAAGTAAAAAGTAGAAAACAGCTAATTTAATAAACGATTTGTCAAAAGAGTGTTCTTTAGACTAGCATTTTTTAGACTAATTTATTTAGAGACTCAAACTTATTTTTGAATAAAATAATGTTGAATTTACAAGTTTTTTTTTTGTTTTTCATATAAAATGACTGGATCTTAGTCGCATTCTCTCTCTCGTTTAAGAATTATAAATTGGAAGAAAAAGTCAAGGGAAATAGCTCTCGATTCATAAAGCATTATATGAATCATTTTTTTAGGTCGCTGTTCACTAAAATATTTTATTTATAGTGCCGTTGAAGATGCACGACTAGGACGCTTTATGCAAAATATCGTTATTTGGGGACGTTTACACGTGTAGGACATACTGAAATTTACATTATTTGATAAATAAGGTCATTATTCGTTTGGAAATATCGCTTTACTTCTGCTATAAGTACGCGGTGTGTTTACTACTGTGCTCAAGTGCGGCAAGAACATCCTGCTTTTGTCTAACGTACAACCGTCCTTTTTTCCACGGATTTTGCAATTGAAGCGGCTTAAAATCATCCCTTAAACAACGCTCCCGCGCACCGATTACGGCGACTAGACAAAAGTTTGGTAACTCATCGGTCGTGTAAGTAGGTCCCTTTTGTCCCTTTAGAACCACTGCCATATTCAGTTGCTTCACAACAAGATCCACAACTTCCCGCGCCGTAGTCCTTGGTGTTACGTGCAGCTTCAAACTGGTACCAGCTGCTAAACCAGTCTCATAGGCCGCATAAACCTGCGAAGACATCATGAAATGTATCTCTTGTAAGAAATATAATATAATATGTATATCACATGATAGGAAGAATCATTAATAAAATGCAGCAATTTCGAATTAAGAATAAGTTTATATCTACAAATGCTTACATAATTAGAGCTCATAAAACTATACGACTAATACAACATGTTACGTCGATATGTAAAATGTTACGTCGATGTGTAAGTTTGCGTGTGTAATATACATGTGTGTCTGAAAGATTTCAATATTTAGTAAATAAAAAAAAAACACGTCACGCGATGAAATAATATTTAGTATTTTATGAATTCTTATTTTCATTTATAATGGAATATTTATCAAGCTTTTCAAAATTTATTAAATATTTTTTAAAGTATATTTTTTTGTAGTTCACTCTCTTCCCAAATAACATACAGCACCTACAACGCATTAAAAAAGCGCTAAAAAATATATATAAACGATAAAAAGGATAATGCATAAACGCTTTTATAACACTTTGCAGTGCCCTTGGATCAGTTTCCCAATCTTATAGACACACTTTGTGTTTAAACAAATAGGGGAGAATGTCCTAAATCGGACCTCTTTAATTTAAATAAATACGGTTAAGCAGATTTGCGCGCTATTTATTATAATGTAAAGTCCTTATAAGATACCAAACATGTGATAACAGTTTGGCAGTACTCTGTTATAACGTTTATAGAATATACGCAAATATATATTTTCGGCTATCATGCGAAAACTTTTTTAAAAAAGAAAATCCTTGTAAATCATTATTTAAAAGATGTTAAAAATTTGAACGGTAATTGATTTAAGATAATTAAAGAATGTAGAATTCAAAAATATCAAGAATTTTATAATTACTTTTGCGATTTATTGTAAAATTTTGTTCCAATCGTTCGAAAGAACTCGTGTCCAAATCGGACCTCTCTTTGGATGTCTAAATCGAATCTATATATAAAAAAAAAACACTAAAAAGACTATGTGCGTGAAGTTAGCACCGCCATTTTGAAAAAAAAAATAAAATAAAATTTGTGCTGAATTGTGCTAGATTTTTGCTACATTGTGCCGCAAGAATTAATGACATAACTCAAAAAACAAAGCGTTAAATTGAAAAAAAAACGTTTTTTTCGCCAGCACCGCCATTTTGTTTAATCGGTAAAATAAACATTGTGCTGAGTTGTACTCGATTTGTGCTACATTGTGCCGCAAAGATTTCAGCCGTTCTTTCATAACACCAAAAGTTATGACTAAAAATAGTTTTTCCCTCCGTGTTCGGTTTTGTGCGGACTATCTAAAAGTCCATAAAAATAAGAGAGATGCGATTTGGAATAGTTCATAGTTCAAAATCGGACCGGAAAATGTATTTTTACATTTTTCATTATAGTTCGACACAGGTAAGAGGTACATCAAAATGATCTGAAGTAGAAATAAAGGAAATTAAATGAACTTTCGAACGGCAACCATTGGTTTTATGATCGGATTTTATTTACGCCTCATAGAGAACAAAAATTGCAAATAGGTCCGATTTAGACCACTCTCCCCTACTAAAAAAAATGCAATATACATATATGTAGGGGAGATCGGGGCTAATTCGGCATCGGGGTAAAGTCATCATTCGGTTTTCACTTACGAACAATAAATCATATAAATTAGCGATTAGTACTAATGATGCGTTTTCATGTATCCATTTTGTCAACGGAGTTTTGTTAAGTTGCTGGCAACATTGCAATTTCTACAATGACGAACGTGTTTTATACAGTCGGAAGTCATTTTTCTGACGCGAAGAAAGTTTGTTATTATACCTATTTTTTTCGTTTGTACAATTATCCAGGTAAGTAATTTTAAGTGAAATGTGTATGCTGGACACGAATCCGTTGACTGTTCTCGCAGTTTCATGGATTTATTATATATTTTGTGTAATGAAAATAGAAATGGACAGTTGGGGTAAAGTCGGCATAGAGACGACCGACGGGGCAAAGTCAGCACAGTAATAACCTAATTTAACATAGTCCGTGCCAATAGTGTCGACTTTGTTCCGGCGGTTTTCGTCTCTTCTCTATTGCAAATGTATGTTATTATATCAAAATGTTTAGGACGTATCGACGTAAAACAGTTCCCGTTGATAAAAATAAGCTAAAAGAAGCTGTTGTAGCTGTCAAAAGGGACAAAATGAAAATAAAAACTGCGGTCGAATTATTTGGCGTCCCGAGAGGAACACTTTGCAGGGCTGGTTGAAGAACACAAATGAGGAACAGGCGGAAGGGAATATAATGGTTGCACGAGTTCCTGGACGCAAAACAGTGAGTAACTAAGATAATATAGAAATTATTTGTTCCGTAGGTTATCTTTGAGTCCAGATTATTAGGTTAGAACAACTTAGAACGCCTATAGCTTCTATATATAGAAAGTATCCGTGGAAGCCTAAACATTTTTTTTAATAATAGCATATGCGTGATTTCATTGAACTTTCGTTCGGCTCGTACTCGATAACCACGAATCACATATTTCCATCGCAGGACTCGATTATTGCAAAGCCAATGGTAAAAAAATTAATAAAGATAATTTTTAAATGCATGCACACTGCACAGTGAAATTAATATTCATGTAATAATTTAATTTTCAATGTAGATTTTCAGTCCAGACGCAGAAACAACGCTAATGGAATACTTGATGCACTGCTGTGATATGTACTTTGGGTTATCGACGAAAGAAGTGCGCCGTTTAGCCTTTGATTTTGCCAAAAAGTTAAAGCTGAAAGTACCAGCGTCATGGGAAAATGCTTGCATGGCGGGTGAAGACTGGTTAAGCAGCTTTTTGAAAAGACACCAAACTTTATCAATAAGAAAACCGGAAGCCACGGAGTTTGGCGCATGCCACCAGCTTCAATCGACCGAACGTGCAAAAATATTTTGCACTTTTGAAAACTGTTATGGATCGAGAGCGTTTCCAGACTCACTGTATTTGGAACATGGATGAAACTGGGATAACAACAGTTCAAACGCCTAACAGAGTTATTAGTAGACGCGGTGTAAAGCAAATCGGGCGAGTAACTTCAAGTGAACGAGGAACACTCGTGACTTTAGCTATGGCAGTGTCTGCAATCGAATGTTCTCTGCCACCATTTTTTATTTTTCCACGCAAATATTTCAAGGAGCACTTTCTAAATGGCGGACCACCAGGCTGCAAAGGAGTTGCGAATCCCAGCGGTTGGATGAATGCGGCGGAGCATTTCTTTACATTTTTGCAGTTTTTTCAATCGCATGTGAGTGCTTCCATTGAAGCTCCCGTTCTGCTCGTACTCGATAATCACGAATCATATCTTTCCATCACTGGACTCGATTACTGCAAAGCCAATGGTATAATTATGCTTTCACTTCCGCCTCATTGCTCGCACAAGCTGCAACCCTTGGACCGCACCGTCTATGGTCCCTTGAAAAAAGCCGTTAATACGCAATGCGACCACTGGATAACCTCAAATCCTGGAAGATCAATGACGATCTACGATATCCCTGGAATTGTCAAAAACGCTTTACCAATAGCCGTCACATATCAAAACATCGTCTCCGGTTTCGAATGTACTGGAATTTCGCCACTCAACCCTATTTTTCAAGATTATGAGTTCTTGCCGAGCAGTGTTACAGATCGAGAGAATCCATCTGAGATAATGGAAAACGAATCGATAGCTTCAATATCACGTCATGAGGAAGATAATAGGAATGTAACACCTACTGAAAACATTAATTTAATCGCAGTGCTTGAAACTGTCCGCCTCTCTTCCCCAAAGCTGCACCAAGACAACAAACCCGCAGAGGACGAAAACGCAGAAAATCTGTCATTCTCACAGATTCTCCTGAAATGAAGAAGTTAACAATAGAGCAAGCGGAAACGTTACGTAGAAAAACGGACAAATCTTCAAAGAAAATTAATTTAAAAAATGGCACCAGTGATATGCAACCGTCAACAAGCACTCGACGTTGAAATACGCGCGCACAAAAGTGAAACATTGTCTCTTTATTTTTTTTCTCATTTATCTTCTTTTTTAGAGCAAAAATAAAGAAATAAAGTATTTTTATTCTTTTAAGAGGAAATGATGTATTTTTATATCAATTTTAGCGCGAATATGAGGTGTGTCGACTTTACCCCAGGAATTTTGCAATATCGCATTTAGAGGTTGTGTCATATTTTTTCTATGCCTATAAAACGAAGTAACATAGACCAAAAATGCTTTGAATCATTTTATAACCAAAGGTTCATTCTTTTCAACAATACCATTTATTTAGCTAAAAGCTTTTATTTTCTTATTAAAAATCGTCGAAAAAAACGAAAGTGCCGAATTAACCCCGGTCTCCCCTATATCCAAGCCATAAAAATATATGGTTATATACAACGTAATACTCTGTTATAAAAATCATATTATTAATAATTTTTACTTTTATACAATATCTTTTGACAGTACGTGTAAAGCTGGCATCATTTCGTGGAAATTCATTAAATATTGACACAATGTCATTCTGTGTTATAACATATTACATACATTACACAAGTATAATTTATATTAATATAGTTATTATAAAGTGTAAAATGATCATAATAAATATTTCATGCCGTACTGATTTTGGAAAATTAAGCATAATATTAAGCATAACCGAGCAGAGAGCAAACGTTGAAATTTAGCAATGTGACAGCTTACTTAATATGTCCACTACATCGGTTTGCACTAGAGGACCAAGTGAACTGTTTTTAATTATAATCGGACTAGACTTGTGTTCCCTGAAGGAGAGAAAAATATCATTTAAAAACTGTGCATATAGCGAGTCCAGGGATTAATGTTGCTAAAAATTAAAATTTTTGAAATGTTGCATCTAGTATGACAAATGTTAGTATGAGAAAGAGAGAGTGTCAAATATTGCAAAATTAAAGGCCATACCTGAAGAATTCCTGGTAAAGGTGCTGGCATCATTGCTTCTTCCTTCTCCTCGGTTAGATTATCCGACGGAATGGCAGCCATCGCCGCGACGCTCGCGGTCGGTTTGGACGTTTTGACCTTGACTGGGTGACCAGGTTTCAAGCAGGCGCCCGAATTTGTCGCGGAGTACTCGTCGCTACTCAGTGAGTGTAGACTGTCGGAATTTGTGTTGCTCACACTAAGCAGGCTCGTAGTATTCGTTATTGCCGTGGAAACACTTAACAACGAACCGCTATAGATGATGGGTTTAACACTCAGTAACGGACTAGTGTTAGCTGATGCCGACGTTATCGTAGCGGAACGATTTCGCGGACTGTGTTTGTATTTGGTGAAGATCAAGGTATCCTCGGATTTAGAAGGCGGTAATCTCATGTTTTGCAGAGGTATCAGATGATTCGCGCTGCTAGTGGTTGTCAGATTGCTACTGCTACTTATCGGTGCACACAACGATTTCTGCGGCTCCGAAGTTACCGACGCGTTCGAGGTGTTGCTACCTTTGCGTATATACTGTCCACTGGGCAGTTGTTGCTCGCTTTTGCTGAACTCTGTCATAAGGTTGGAAGGTGACTTTGACAGATTGGGACCTGGCCAGCTGCCACGGCCGGGACTCGATTTTACGAGTTTAGGATCTCTAGGTGGTAGTTGTAATAAACTTCGTTTCAAGCTGTTACTATTGCTGTTTTTATTTCTATCCAAACTGAGTAGGTGCTTCATAGATATGCCCACGGTTTGCGTCGCGATCTGGGAAAAAGTAATAATAAATTATTTACAAATGATATAAAATTAAAAAGTATACGGTAAATTTATGAGTCAAGTACAATAAAATATATTACAGAAAATATTACGTAATAATAATTACGTTTTGTTGGGATGAGCCGCGATCTCTCGCAAAAGTTATAACATCGATTAGCCATCTGGCGCCTTTCCATACGGTGTTCACTTGTGATTGAAGATCTTGCAATCTCGCCAGTTTGTCCTTCGCGACGCTCAACTCCAAGGAACTGAAGGCCTCTCTGTGATTATGTTGAGCCTGTGCGGTGTCCAGTTCCAAAATACAACTGAGTCTCGAGTAACGATTGATCACGTCCTTCTGATACGTATTCAAATGGACCATTTCGAAGACCTGAATAGGCAACGACAAGAGATCACCGCGTTGTAGCAGGATTTCTCGCGTGCCAGGTACACAACAGGCTGTTTCGGCAGGTGGTACAGCGATTAAGAACGAGACGTCATGAGTTAAATCTATCACCTCAGCGTCGTATAATCGATGCATCAACAAATCATCTGGACTGATTTCCATGTAATTAAACAGACGTCGCGCTGTTGCAGCAACCAGATCAACAAATAGCTTTTGCTGCTCCGTACTTAGCGCCTCGTTCGTTACATTTTCTTTCTCTTCAGATTCTTTCATAGAAGTCTCAGATGTGCAGATACGTGTTACTTTCTTGAGATAATCCCATTCCTCTCTTCACAAATAAAAACAAAGGTATGATAATATAATGGAAATAATTCAGAACTGCAATATTTTGTTTCAATGAATTTTATGAATGTAAACTTACGCGGATACGTGTGGATTGTCCCGAATCTTACAATGTGGCAATACGTTTGGAGATTTTGTTGGAACAACGACTTGTATGAGATCTACGCTGCTTTGCATTTTCAAATAACCAAGATATAAACCTTTAGATAATTTAATACTGCTGACTTGGTGATATGTCATTTGCTCTTGTATGCTGGCCATTAGTATATCGGCAACATTACTGTCTTCGTGCGTTATAACCTTTTTTATAACTTTACTAAGCGGTAACCACCTGCTGTTTAATACAGAAATCAATTTTGGCGAATTTATATAATTTACTGTCGAGAGTACTAAGGTGCCTTGAATATCTCTAATGGGCTTATGATATAATTGTCCAAGATCTTGTATGCACAATGCAGCCTGTAAAATGAATTAAACAAAAATATCATAGGATGTTAATCTGTATGTATTTTTATACATTGAACAATATAACCTCATAAATAATTAAGATAAATAAAAGTTTTCCGTATTTTAATAAACAATACACAACGTTACCTGCATTTGAGCAGCAGCTTGAAGCAACTTTATCCTAAAATGATTAGTCGAACTACTGTGACTCTTTTCCATATCTTGTCGAAGGGATTTAACATCATCCCATGTACAGGCAACCTTCATGAGCCAATGAAAGTCATTGTAAATACAACTAGGATACGTCTCGTCGATCTCGATCACGGGTAAAAAGTCTTCGTTGGTAACAAGAACCTTGTCCTCGTGATAAAGTAGACACGCTAGAAACACTCCTCGTCTGAGATTCTTCTGGAATTTACTCGTTGCCGTAAAGAGTTGCTTTATCGTTGTTTTCTTCTTGTGATTTCGCCTCTGTACCGCTGGCGTTTCTTGCGTATATTCCGGCCGCCTTATGTCGGTGAACAGAGTGTTTAGTTGTTCTAGTCGTCCCGCGAATCTGGGCATTCTACCGTCTATGTCTCTCCAACCTTTAAATTATCATAAATATTTGCATTATTTGTAAAATCAAGAATATTTAAACGCGTTATAGTAAACACGCTTAATAATCATCATCGTACTGCGCTGCAACGGTATAACAAGATTGACGTTATACATATGTATACTTACTGCTAGGTGTAACGTGAGCGGGCGTCGAATTCCTGAACCTGCTATAGCCCTTCAAATTTCCTGCAGCTGCACGAAAGTGATATTTTTTACCTTGAGTTAGATTCTCGATCCGACACTCCTTCTGCTTCATATCCAAAACTTCTCTCTCGCCGCAAATAACTGAAAAGTCATCGTGCAGGCTCCATTGAACTTTAAATTTAGTACAGATCGGAGAGTCATGCGAGTCTGGTTCTTGAAATCTGACTGTTACTGATGTCGTTCCAGTGACATCGATCGCGACTAAGAAAGGTATGTCGGGTGGGCCTGAAGTAAACGTTTATATTTTAGTGCAAAAGTATTATATTTGTGTGTTACAAATTTATTTTAAAATAATGATAAATATACATATATCTATATGTCTTTGGCGAGTAAACACACAATTTAAGAATTTATATTAAATCTACTACACTTACGCGCTTGGTCGAAACCTAGCAACATTTTTCTAAGGGCTCTAGATCTCCTTTCCCACAGGGCAAGTTGCTTATCCTCTGTGCTACCACTGCATCCTGTGAGGTTGTTGTGTTGCGTGGAAAAAGTGGCTCTATGGCAAGGTGGTTCCAATAGATTTGTTCCGCCGCTGTCGGAAGTACTGCCGCCAAGTTCTTGAACTCTGTGTTCTGCTTCCGAGAGTAATGACGCCAAGTGATTACCCAGAGATTCCGGAGACTTGACTGTGTCAACAGTATATCGAACGCATATATGAATTCATAGTTAAATAATATGTGAGCATATAAATTACGATTAATTTAAAATACATTTAAATACATCAAACTTTACATTTTAATTAGAAATTTCTGAGTAAAATTAAGTCTTATTCCGATATACGTACTACAGATGAAAAAAAACAGGTTTTTTTTTACTTCGGAGAAAAATATCAAATATAACAAAACAGTTTTTTAACCAAAATAATATAAAATTAATGAAAAATATAAAAAATTAAATATAATTAAATATCTAGAAATATGTATAATAAAATAATGAAATTTCGAGGGGCTATTTTGGATTCAGCGATAAGAAGAACGCAATAAATAATATAAACAATAATAACTTGCTCGTTATTGGAAACACAATATAAAATTATGAATAAATAACGGCCAAAGACGAAAAGACTTTTTTAGATGCTGAAAACGATGTCGCAATTAAAAAAATTCTAGCACATCAGATTTTTAAGATAATTAACGTTTAATATATTAAAAAAATGGCCTTTTAATTTGACGATATTTAACATTTTCCTATAAAAAGGGTTAGCTTTTGAAATTTTAATCAGAAATTGCGAATGTATTGTATATCCTCTATCAAATGTATTCTTTTTTAATTTAATGGCTTATTTTGTAGTCATATTACGAAGGATTGAAGGCAGGAGCTAAAATTACTTCAAAATAACAATGAAGCACATACACACACAAAGAACGAAAGAGAGTTGTTTTATAAAAAAAATACATGTTGTTGCATATTAGAAATTGTATAATTTTTGAAGAGTAGCTATATCGTATTTCCACGTATTGATTAGTTTCATTATTCTGTGCATAAAAGCGTTATCAAATGTGACCTTCAAACTTAATACGCATATATGACACTACCAGAATTCCTATATTTGAAATAGCTCCTATTTTTAATCCTTCATAACATGATTAAAAAGTAAGTTATTAAAGTAAATAAAAAAAAGAAATGTATCTTATAAGGGATAAACAATATATTCATGATTTTTAATCGGAATTTCAAGTTACACTATATACTGTTCCACAAGTGATTATTACACTAATTAGAATATTTCATATTTCATGCAATTAATAGCTGTAATCTTGTTGTGCTATCTTGTTACTTGTGTGTCTCTTTACGAGAGACCGTTTTGCTATAATTAATCTAGAGCTCAGTTATAATTGTGCTACTTCTCAATGTGGAACGTTGCAGAAATCAATAACAGACGCGTTCAAGAAATTGCTCAAAACACATGTCGAATACTTGACTGCATCATGCGCGTCAAATAAAGTTGGAAACCTGTCAGAAATTTGTCGCTGATATCTCGCGAAAATTAATTCGGAAGAAGTGTCCTTCTTGTCGTTGTATATTCATTTTCAGAATATCTTAACGACGCTAAAGCGCTAATGAATGTAACGGGACAAATTAAAACGCGAGGAACTTCTGCAAAGATGAATAAAGCTCAAGTTACTGACTTAATAACGTAGGATTCCCCAGTTTCGCTTGACGGCACATTAAGAGAAATTTATCTTCCTAAACTTTTATCCCACTCTCTCCTAGGAAAACGCGCAATCGAGTGATGCTCGCGACGCCGATAGTCTCCAGCGCATTCGCCAGAAATTCGATTCTAGTCTTCTATCACGGGTTTATTTGGCTCGATGTTTCGAATATAATCTTGCTGCAACAATCGTCACGAAAATTAATGAGAAAAGCTCGAGTATCCGTCACAATCTCTTACTTATTTACATTCCATAAAAGGGAATCGCTCACTCGCATTTACAGCTCGTATATCCGCTCGGCTTAACGAAATATAACAAGCATCGAGAAATATTTAGATACTGCTAGCAACTTTACAATTCCACACTGCGTACATGGCTCACGTTCGATAATTACGCCGGAGCTCGATATATTGAACAAAGAGAGATATTATTAAAAACGTCGAGAAAAGCACAGCGTCGCGCTCAGGAGAGAAATCTCTGCTATTTCTTTCTATTTTTTATTGTGCATTTCGTGTTCTCGCTTTTTATTTGCAACGCAACAAGGTATTTTTATTAAAAACTACGGAATCCTATAATTTTAATATCCCATGAAGTGCCAATTTTCTTGGATCTTTTTACACAACAGAAAGAGAAAAAGAAAGAAAAAAGGAAAATAGAGCGAGACGGGAGAACATTTTGTGGGGAAAATGGGAAAGGAGTACAGATTAACGGGAATCGTCACAAGTAACGAAGTTCCCGCTATGCAACGCATAGTTTGTAATTGGATTCGATTGTACTTACATTGATTCCCTTCCTGCGCGCCGAATGCAACCAGCATTTTTGCCAACAGTCTATTGTTGCTAAGAACAGCAACATCCAGCGGAGACAAGCCGTCGCTGTTAACACTGTAATCGATATAAAATTTCAAATAACATGGACCAATATATATATATATATATATATATAGATAAAATTTATTTTTAAATCTTTTCTAAAATAAAAAAAAATAATAATATATCGAGATTCCGCAATTTTTCCTGTTCAATTTTTTTCCTCGTTTCCTTTTCGCATTATATCAAAGCATGGCATAAGTTTACACGTCATTATACGCAACATTAAATATTGTATAATTCTATTTCATCTTTGCATCACTTTATCCGGCGTTATACACATAAAAATAAAATTGAAAAGTTTTTAATCATTGAATCTTTGTATCAAATAAAGATAAAATTTTTGTTGAAGAGTAAATAGAAACTCATAAAATTTCCGCTAACATTTATGTGATATGTGTATGGAAGGTCAATAAAGATCAGGTAAAAGATACACAATGTGTATTACACATACATAAGTGTAATCCTTCTTTCTAAATTATAAATCGGCGTAATACTGGCATCCCGCTTGTACTTTTCAATCTGACTGTATCTCGTTTTACAACTTGCGTCCTGTCACTTCATTCTTTTCGTTAATGGAAAAATTTTTCCCCGTCCAAGCGGAAAATTGTAAAGTTAATGAGATTCACTCTAAAACATTTAATTGCTTTCGTCTACTTCACCGCGTACTTTATTGATGTGTAAAAGAGAGAGGAAGGGGAATCAAATAAACGTTAACGATATAACACATAGTCCAGGATAAAAGCTGACAATATAACATAGTCGAGGATAAAAGCTAACAATATAATATAATCCAGGATAAAAGCTTGCTAAATGAATTTTTCAGTTTTACGTCATCCATCTATCGACTTTTTCTGTTTGCAACAAAAATTTGAATTGCGTTTGCTACATTGTGTGTTGCCGCGCGGTATGAGCAACTTGTAACTTTTCCGCTGCTTATAGATTATTTTACTTGTGTATGAACACTCTTGTTTTCAACTGCTCGATACTTTCATGTAAAGTGTATTATGAAAGAAAAGAAAGTATTAGCAATTCTTGGAATTTTTCGACTCTTATATAAGCTATTGTTGTGTCCAAAATAAAATTAAAATACAAATGATTAAAAACTGTTATACAAAATGCAATCATTGAAGTGAATTATTTTTTTTATTATACAGATAAAAAATTTGTATTAAATTTAATACAAGATAAATATAGAAAGTAATACAATGTAACACATTAATCTAATTTAAATAAATAATTATGAATTCACAATTCTTCAGTAAAATTAAAATTTATGATATAACATGTATATCATATTCATTTATTTTAAAATTTATATTATTTGTTTGCTTACTCTCATAAACTATTATTTTAAAATTAAAAAATGTTGAATATTAATTTAACATAAAATATTCAAATAACAGTCACGTTATGAATTAAATTAGCATATTTAGATCTTTTATATATTTAAAATTTAATACAAATTTTATGGACCGATTTTAACACAAAATATTATTTATTGTGCAGCATTATCGTAGAATCTTATTTGAAATATCTCAACATGAATAATACGATTATTGAAAATATACATTTTACATTCCGATTTATTCCTTTTATATAGTTTAACATATAATTTTTCAACAGTATATATCATAGTATAAACCTTAATTTACCTTTTTCAACAGTATAAAAATAAAAACGTTAAATTTTTTTGATTGTAATTTTAATTAATTTTTGTATGATAATTTTTCGTTTTTCGAAGCGGAATCCGATAGTTGCCTGAAAGATGGCGAAAATGTGTAGGAAGTGAAGGGGATTACTTTGATTGGGTTAATATTTGTTCTTTTATAATTTTACATCGAAATTCGGTAAAAACGACCAAGAATTAAGTTGTAGATCTAATATAATCTTCAGGTGACAAATATAAAATTCTATCGATTACTCGCAAGAAATAGAAACGAACGCAGTTATTATCTAAAGTTACTATGCGCGATTAGCTATTAAAGACTTCTAGAAGCCAATTATAGCATTAAAAAACACAGCCTTCACCCATCGTATCGGTTTAAAAATGTTTCTACGATTTGTCAAGATATATTTTTACAAAGAACAATTTAACGTTTTTTGACCAAAAAATCGAATTAATCCACGTAAAAGTTACTAATTGATAACTTTCAAATACGGTTAAGAAATAAATATATAGCTGCAAAGAACAATTAAAGTTTGAAGCAATTTTTATTTTATCCATTCATCACACGATAATTAAATGTCTAAAATAAAAATCAGATAATTTTCTGTTTAAATTCCCGAAAGATACAAAAAAGGAACATAAAAGTATGAATAAAGTTTGGTCGATTATTTTTTGCATACGATAGCCTACACTCAAAATATATGTATATCATACATTTTGAGTGTAGACTATCGTCGACATAAATCTCTGTCCCAAGATTCATGTCGAATCGAATCAAGATGTTGAGTTGGTTTTGTTGGTCAAATAATTCCTAGAAAAGCGTGATTGGCTGTTTCTATGGTAGTAGTGTACCTCGAAAGTTTCAGATCGTACATTAGATTAAAGTCCCTTAAAGTAACATGTATTTCAAGTAAACAGAAGTTCTTCTCTATAGCATGTAAGTGTTTTTGAAGAAAAGTATCAGCTAAATTCTTTGAGGGCCATGAAACCAAAGGTTGTGAGCTCATGAGTTTAAAGAGTAAATATTTAATACTATTTGTGTGTGTGTGTATGTGTGTGTGTGCGTGCGTGCGTGCGTGTGTGTGTGTGTGTGCACATAAGCTTAATATACGCGCATCTAGATTATCCAATGATGTAATAAAATATCTGTTTATCAGACAAGATTCTTTGGTATTGTTTCGCTAACTCAACTTTTTTAACATTTTTATCAATAAATCAATTATTTTAATAATTCCTAAATTGTGTGTGTATATATATTATATATATAAAATTATACATAAATATATAATCACTCACCTATTTATGTTCACATCGGTAGACTCCAAAATAGTCCTCGCTTTATCCAAGTGACCATGTTCCACAGCAGCAAATAGAGCTAAAAATAAAATAATAATATCAAAATTATTTCTAATATAATATAAATTTTGATATGATAACAATAAGTTTAACAAAAACAAAGAGGTGATTGAGAAATTAAAATAAATTTCGATAAAAATAAAATACCATGCAGGTGTATGTTGAGGGATTGTGTTGAGAGAGGATTAATATGTATTGACGATAGATTATTTAGATGGTGGAGCTGTTGTTTCTTCTTGCCGAAACCTTCTAGGAACTCCATCCCTTGCAATGAGTGGAACTCTGTGCGCATAAAAAATAAGGCAAAATAAATAAATGATAAATAAGTGAAACATTGCAAAATCGAATAAGCGTTAAATGCAACGTAATGCAAAACAAGAGAAATTTGAGGGAATCGTAAAAATAATGATATATATATATCTCGAGAAAGATAAATCCTTGTATTAATTATTTAAAATTTATTAAATTTGTGGGTTTTTTAAAGATTTCTGAAGTTGGCATCCCCAAATGCGAATTTTAATAAAATTAATATCGCATTCGATTGTCCACCATTTGTCCATCAAAAAAAATTATTGGCCATCCTTGAAAAAAAAAAAATTATAAATAAATAAAAGATTATAGCAACCCCATGTGAATATTCTTCCGAATTACATACGGAATTTGATTGTCCACCGCGCGTTTGTCCACCCATAATTCTCTTTTGTTTACCTTTCAAAAAAAGTTTATAAACAAATTAAAATTTAACAATCCGTCACTTTTGATATCTCAGTTACATAATCTTAATTTATTCTAATTGGAAGAAGGAAGAATAATGTAAAATTGGAAAATAAATTTTAAATCAGTTTTAAATCAAAATTTAAATCCAGTTAAACTTTAATTTATTAATAATTTTTTTTTTTATGGACAAATGTGGACAAATGGTGGACAATCGATTGCAATGTTAATTTTAACAAAATTCGCATTTAGGAATGTCGCCTTCACAGATCTGGTTTTGTCTTTTATAATAATATATATATATAAACACAATCCATCAATCGTTATTATAATAATAGGAGTTATATACTTTAGTCAGCAAAATATTTTAAGTAATTATAAAACGTGAAATGAAGCCTTAAATATTTGCCAAAAAAAACCAGCGACTTAAAAAATGAAAAAGAGAGAGAGAGAGAGAGAGAGAGAGAGAGAGAGAGAGAGAGAATCTTAATTATTTCTTTCTTAAATTATTTTGTTCATCATATTACAAAGTCAGCTCATACATTTTACTCAAGCTACTTTCACAACTAGAAATTTTCCCACATCAGTAACGTACTACAATACTTTATAGTTCACCGTTTTATTTCATGTTTAACATACTTTCTTTTTTGTATCTTTCCATGATAATTATTGATTTGTTTCTTTGTGAAAATATACCAATAAGAATTAAATGCATTATCATATGCATAGATATAATGTAGACTCCTTTTGTTATTCAATATCGTAGAGAAAATAACTATACCAATAATATACCGTGTAAACTTGAACTAGAAGTTTCTAAGAAGTGATTAATTACACCTGGCACTCTGTTGACTAATTAGAAAACTTATTAATCCAGCGTACTTGATCCTGATGATGTCGACACGAAAACTTGCTCCTGACCGATTCGCTCGTAATCTTTCGTTTCCTTTATGTCTCTTTTCCTACCAGTCGCCATTTTATTTCGAAAACTATTACCACGTCTGTTTGTCCAAAAGTTCGTGATATTATCTACCGTTTTGACTTTACAAGATTTTGAAGGATATATCTTAGCGTCGTCATGAATTTTCTGATTCTGCAGACAGAGCGCTGCGTTTTTTCTCTTTGTTTCGTGCATCTTGCAATAAAATTTAATCTTTAGGCGATCAAATTCACTCAAGGATTCCGTCGTCTTTCGATTTCCATTTATCACGTTTATCGCATGCGAGTCGTCGCTCCTCACTTCGCAAGAACATCTCAAAGACTCGGTCTCGCATCTGGGACGAAATGTGTTTTGTAATGGTTTCTTGAGGTATTCTTCGTCCTCGTCCTTGTCTCGCTCGTAATTCGTTTTACGATAAAAGGGCCGGTTAGTTGCGGTCTTGTGAGAATCCACGACGACGGTCAAGACATTGCGTTTGGATGACGTAGCGCCCTCATTTTTACCATCTTGTTTTTGCCATTGTTCCACCTCATTCCCTTCTTCGACTTCGTAGAGGAAGCTCGAAACGGAGGAATCCAAGGAATTGTCGAGCACGAATGTAGGATTCTCATAAAATACGTATTTATTGAGTCCATCTGTGTTTGTTTCGCAGGTCGCATGTTTGTCACTATGATCTTTCTCTCGAGTATCTTCTTGTGAGCTCCCTATGCTGTGTCTCCTGCGAAAAATGTGAATAAGCTTCGGTAATTTTACATCTTCATTCTTCATACAGGGTCTCTCCACGTTCTTGCGATCCATACCTATTAGTTTGTCAGTTAAAGATAGCTTACTTTTTAGATCCTTTGTAATTTTTTGCGAATCAGCATCAAAATCTGATACTGAAATCTTCCGAGGACTCGAAGACGCCTCGTTATCGATTTTGTCCTTAATGTGAGAATTCATGTCCTCGGTACCTTTTTGTAAATTTGAGAGCTTCTCACTGTCCTGAATTTCTTCAAGGACAGATAAGTTGCATCCCTTTTTAACGATGAGATCTTTTGAAACAGATGAGAGATCGAAGCCAGCGGCCAGTCGCAGATTGGCATGATTGCGTATCTTTGACATTAGTTTCATAGATGCTCGAAAGGACCTCGACCTTTTCAAGGTCGATATCCTGCTGCCCGAGGAACGTCTTGAGAGTAGTTCCATTTTCGGGCTGGATGAAGCGGGTTTGCGAAATTTCATCTGGGGATTGCTCAATAGTTACGCTTGAAATATGTTCTATCAAGATGTTTGAATTTTTTTTAGAGTTTCAATACGTCTGAAAATGTCTCAATAGAATGAGATCACTTTACGCATATTGCTCGTTTTATAAATTATTGATAATATGTGTTACGTATTTATTACTGCTTATGCGTTATTGCTTCTCTTTGGTAAAATAAAGCCTCGAAATTTGCGACTCTCCATAAATTCGTAAAGCAATTCTTTGGCTGGATAAAGCTGCAAAAAAATCATTGATACCATCATTTACTTGATCTTATTATATTTAATGGCACATTTTTCTGTTGAATAGCACGACGAGGGGGGATTGTATATATTATAATATATTATTGTATTTAACGCAAGCTTTATAGAGATTATTCTGCAACTCCTAAAACGTTGACTATCTTAATGCAATCTGTGAATCAATTCACTATCTCGAGTTTTTGTTTTGACTGACAGAATAGCTCACTAGCTTGTCTCTTTTACAACAAAACTGATAAATATTTACGTGAAGCATTAGAATGAAGTAAAAGAGCGATTAGCAATTAAAGGAGATCAGCACGAGTGTTGCCATGAAACAACGACGTAGTTGCTATGTAACTACCGTCTCCAAAACGATTTTATTGTTTACTTACGGCCACGTACTAGCTTGATTCCGCCGCGACAATTGACCATTACGAAGAAGTGGACGGAACACGGCCTCTTCCTCCTCGGACAATTTACCAGACCAATCAAATTTATTGCTGTCGTCCGTTATTCGTTAAGATCTCGATGATAGCAAAGTATAGGTGCTTGAAGATCAATGACAAACCGCTGGTGCTCTAACCAGCATCGAACATATAGTAAAGTAATTGTTCCCAACAACGTGTAAGAAAAATTATGCGAGTTTCAACTTCTTGTTTTTCAAATAATTATATTTGAAGAATATGTATATATACCTATATATGATATATATGTATATATCATAGGTATATATATATATACACACAAATATATATATTAATGCTTGTGGTGCCGATATCCGTATCGGGAAAAAGACAATCAATACGTACATTGGAAAGTCCATTAAAGAATCATTTGTGTCACAATATGCGATTGTATCGAATGACCACAATAATTTTCGAGCATTTTATTCAAGATTTTTATATGCCTCTTATCAACGGAGCTTGGCTTTCTCTAACTGTATCAGCACGTTATTCACGGAGTAATGACTAAAATATTGTTTTATAGGTCGTGCCAGTCTGTTTCTCGCGGAAGCGTGAATGTTTCCAACCTTACTCGAATAAATTGGAAGGAAAAAAATTGACCGCTTTAATAGTCCAGATTAGAGTTCATTAGAAGTTAATAAAAAAATTACTTGACTGAATGCTAATAACATAATTATAATCTGGAATTAAGAGAATCGTCCGACAATTTCAATCTGGGAAAGCAGAATCTGTGATTTTCCAATAACCAATAACTATTTTAAATTAAAGAGGAAATTAGATAAGAAATGCAGGATATGGAAGGAATGAAAAAAACATTCGCATCTTAGACATTTCTTCTTTTAATGATCATTCCATTAATGATCCTGATAATGTCTATTGTTTCCTATTTCCTTTGTCCTATACGTCTTCTCTTGTACTTTCGGATAAGTCACATAATTGATTACAATGAATGCATCTCTTTATAGAATATATGAACGAATTCCCTTTAAAAGCGGAACGATTCGCGACTTAAATCTTAACTCTTTAATTCTTCAGATCCTTGTTTCTGAACAAGAAACCTTCGGTTTCCATTAGAGTTTTGATTGACTACAATCGACTTCCAGCAATGTGCAATAAAGAGTCACGATTCTATGTCTCCGCGTTTTTATGTTGAAACATACATATATAAAACGAAAAGAAAAATGTTCAAAAAGATATTAAAATATCTATCAAAGCTAAATTAGATACACATCTGAGTATAATTTTGTTATACCATCAAAAAAAATAACTATGTAGGACACTCAAATTAATTGTTAGAATGTCAATTCTTTTTGCAACATTGTTTATCATGTTTGAATGCCCTACATAATTATTTTGATGGTCCAATAAAATTATTTTCAGGTCTGCATCTAACTAAATTTTTATATATTTTGATAAACCTATTTTTCCCATGTATGATTATCAACTGAATTATTATTTTTACAATACATTACAATATTTTAATTTTAAATAATTTTCCTTCGATTCTATTTTATGTGTAATTGTTACTACCAATTTTTACTTCTGTTGTTCAAAATATAACTTATCTATAAATGTCTCAGTTATTATTAATTCTATTTAATTTTATTACGGTATGTATTTGTGTATATTTTTTGTCCTTTATTATCTATCTTGTTAAGGGAAAATATTTAAAATTCTTAAAATGCAAAGGTATTCCTAAAATGCGCAAGATACTTCAATGTATTGATATAGACTAAAATTTATGTGATATAACGAGACGGATTTTTGAAATCATGAAATACAAATTTAACATTAGAATTTGTAATTTAAAAATAGTGGATTTTAATATGGCACAAAAATTAAAATAATAAAATAAATTGTATTAACCTTGTTTGTGAATATTTGTTTAATAATGTTACCGAGATTGCTAAATATGAATTTGATGTTAACATGACAAATTTTAAAATGGTGAATCATCCATTATTGCGGGAAATTTTTAATATATAATATAATTCTTAATGTATGTACAGATGAAGTTTGACTAAAAATACTTTATTGTAAAGTTATAACAAATTATTGTAACGAAACATGAAATAGGAAACAATTCATTTTCTCCAATAAAATTAATTAATTAACAGGCGAGAGTAAAATAACTGCGAGGTTATAGATGCATTCTATAATACTATATATATTTAAATAATTATTACATATATGATGTGAAATTCTACATTCAAACATTTCAGCTGATTTTCAATCGAAAATATTAAATTGATATTATATCAAGTTAGAAAGACTTTTGGTCGCAGTACATGAATTTTCTGTGACGTACCGTTGTCTCTTAACAGTTGCAGTTTGAATTTAGCATGACGAGGTAATTTATGATGACAATTACATTAATTAATTTTTAATATATTAATTTTTTGAAAAATTTTGTCATCGGTGTTTTATTTAAAGTAACAGTTTTGTATTGCGTTGGATGAGTGTCTGTCTTATGTTTTACTTATATTTCAACAGAACAATTTAAAATTAAATCGTTGCGTTGAATTTTGATGCAAAATCATTTCTATACTCCAAATCTTATTTTTTACACTTCTCTATGAATAAAAATTAACAAGCGCGATGAAAAATCCATTGTTTCCTATGTTTCGTTCCAATATTTGTATAACTAATCGTAATAAATTACTTCCAAACTTTATATAACATTGTTTTTCTTATTTTTCCACTTTTTATTTTCAATTTTTATTTATAGAATATGCTCCCATGCAGTTTGTCTGTTAAATCCTGAGATACTCTGTACATTGTAAATAAAAACTTGTGTATTTTTATATCAGTTTTGACAGTGTTGATTACAAATTCAAAAAATAAATTACAAATCTTTGAAAAGCATTTTATATACGACAAAAAATTTTGCAAAATTTATAATGAAATATATTATTAAGTTAAAATTGTTAAATTATATTATTAAGTTAAAATTCATTGTATTTGTTTCGTGAAACGTTTGAAATTTTTGACTCTCAAAATCATTATTTTGTTTTAATAAATTTTGAAATGTTGAAGAAATCCCATTGAAATTATCGACTTTTAAATACTCCTAAAATTATCTTTTCAAACTGTTTTTGATAATATTTATATAAAGAAACGATAATTAATTTCATCAAAGATGCCTATAGATGTTATCTAAGGAAAATAAGAAAGGTCCATGTAATGTAAATGTACACATTAATGTATACAAATGTGTACATAGAAACCTTAAGATTCCCATGGACAATATCGGCAAACATGTCGTTTATGCGGTATACCATATAATACCTTTGTGCAACTACATGATCAATCTCACAAGAGCATACATAAGTCCGTTCACCACGTTTGCCGTTCAATCTTCGAACATCAATAGGCCAATCGGGATTAGAGACCTTATATGAGAGTTTAGTCACGAGCAATTTTATCAAAACCCTACTAGAGAGAAGGATATACCATATATAGTTTCTCCATGTATATACACTATTTCATTTTAACTTATATCTATTTCATTTTACATTGAAAAAAAATTTAATAAATTCTAATAAATATTTCTTTAAATAGTTCTTTAGTGGAATATTTGCTAAATGTAATGTAAATACATATTTACTAGATACCACAAAACCATTAATTTAATTCAAATATCATTTTTTTTATTTATCTAAATAATTATTTACTGTAAGTGAATATTCCGTTAGAACTATTAAAAAAAATATTTATTAAAACTTAATAAATTTTTTTCTTCAGTGTATAACTTCAATTAAGATATTATAGAGTTAAATATATAAGTTAGGATCTGTCAGATATTGATATAAAGTCCCTAATTAGAATTGAAGTCCCGCGAAGGTACTCCTCGTCATGGGAGTCTAAAATGGAGAAAGGAAAAGGAGGCATTTGCCCCCCCCCCCCTCCCCCTTGGATGATAATTTCTAATATAAATTTCACTTTTTCAACTTATACCTACCTTACGATGAGTAAACACCGTAGGTATAAGTTGAAAGGTATATACTTTTAATACTAAAAGCGTATACATATTTGTAATTATATATAATATATACATTGTGTACACGTATTTTAATTTTCGAAATAATGGTAATATAACAATAAGCTTGTATGTGAATATACGTTAAATACGTAAAAAAAAGTTGCGCAATAAAGACGTTATTATTATTATTATATTTTGCTCCATTCTAGGAAAAATTTTCTTTGCCCCTCGTCGTGCTTTTCGAAGAGAAAAGTTGTAACGCGACTCTCATAAATGCTTTGACACGTTGGCTA